GTCAGACGCAGAGAAAATACCGTTAGCTTTCTGATGCCCCTGGCCCATGTAATCTGCGACTCTAATAAAGCCAGGGCCATGATCGGCTATGTTACCACCGATGATTTCCAACCAGGCATTGTTCCGATACCGGACACCTGGTTTAAGCCGGCAGACTTCGATGATGAAGCCACAAGAGAAAGCCAAGCCGACATGCTTGATGGTCTCGACATTGCGAGCATTTTTATCCGTTTTGAGAGTGGCCATTCCACTAATGTCGAAATTCAGCACTGCCCATTTAAGCCTGATGTATTTCCCTTGAGATACCTCATCCATGGAGCGAACGAGAAAAACCTTGAATCTATCCGAAGACTTGGTTTGCTCCCTGGAGGCACCCGTGGTGGAAGAAACCACGTGCATTTCACTCTTGATTCATCACTCAGTACGATCAGAGACGTATTACGTCCCGAATCAGACTGCATTTTAATTGCAAGACCTGGTGCCGTGACCGGCCTTGGCCCAGTGATCACACACAACCGATATGTCCTTACCGATCAGACCGTGCCGTTTTCCCGCTTTTGCGGTGTTTGGTCCTTCGTTGATCGCTCCTGGCTTGTTACACCGGAACCGGCTGAGCTAAGGCGAATGAATGATTACACATCAAATATTGACCTTGCAATGCATGTCTGCCACCACCAACTTTACTGGGAGAAAAACAATGAAAATGAACAAGATGGTTTCACCTGGTCACGTTCCGAATATGTGGAGTATGTGGCAGAAGAAATTGAAAAGCTTCCTGTTGTGACTAAGTTTTTAGAAAGTTTCCGTAGTACCGATTCCGGTCCGGCCAGGCCTCTGCGCACCAACGCCACTCCGAACGACCAAGAGCTTGGCCCGCCTGAGGCAGAGGCAGACAAAAGAGTAAAAACACTCAAGGCAGAAATTTCCCAGCGATTTAAGAAACATCTCGCCAAAGCGAGGAACAAGGAGCAGTCTTCCGCCTCGGAGAGTGAAACTCCCAAAGGGCCTGTCAAGGCCAAGCCTATGCCAAAGAAACCGAAGGATGCCGCCGCTGCGGCTAGCTCCGATCAAGCATCCGGCACCATTGACCCTGACACTGAAATTGATCTGCAGGCCGCATCTCCGTGGGGCGGTCGCAGACAGGTTGTTAAGACCTGGGCACGCCGTGAGATGAACGCCCAGGCAAAAGACTTGTTCCGTGATGCGGACGCAGCCCAAAATTTTTTTACAAAGTTTAAAAAGGATACAGATGAAATTCAATGGTTTCCTCGCCCTGCGGGTCCTCAATGCTGTAAGAATTTTTCCGAATGCGGAAATGCAGAGGCAATGTTCTGGTGCCACCCTTGTGGCTTTGCCTATTGCTTGGAATGCCGCACCTGCGGCTTAGCTTGCAAACATAGCATTGTTAATTATTCCTCTGAGTTGTCCTCCGATTTTATTCCAGACAGCATCGGCTCATCCAAGTCGCCTTTCGATATCGAAGAATTGGTTGATGCTGTTCTTGCAGAATCTTCGTATTTCGGAGCCACACGACGCGAGCATGCTCAAAACCGTCAGGAAAAATTCTCGGAACTTATCACGCATCTGCGTGAAGGCCGCTCCATGGGGAATACCTACCTGCAGTCATTTGCACGGCATGGTATTGAGGATTTCGACTATACAGAATATATTTATGAAATGCCATTTGGAAGTCGAATCCCTACTCTCCAGCAGCACTTTGTTGATGCCCAGGACCAGACGCCACTTCCGATCTGGCGACCTGAGGCTTTCTTCAAGTACCCTGACGGCGGTGACCTTAAGGAAGGAGAGATTCTCCGTTTATTGGAGCTCTTCAGATCGTGCCTTCTTGGTAAAAGAGCAATCCTCGGTGTTGCCAAGCGCACTAAGGAGAACATCCATGAATTTCAGAAGGACACGTATCAGCTTGGCATTTTGACGTTGAACCTTGGTCACATCAACCGTATTCCGTATATCGGAGGTTGTTCAAAATTTCCAGAATGGGTCCGAACTGATATTAACCACCGTGCCTTGCCACATTTAGTGTTCCGTAATGCGGCCCATATTGTGTGCTTGTGCGAGGCTTCCGACGAATACGGAGGAATTGCCTTTCATCGAGAACTTGCCGAAGAGTATGGGATGATTGGCATGGTAGTCCACCCGCACATTCAATCACAGTCCGTTGCAATTTTTCTCCGTGGCTCACATGATGCAGGCTCATTTATTGAACTTTTATGTCAACACCAGATTGAAACAGCCAATAAAGATGCGCCTTTCTGGATTTTGCATGGCGCCATTTTTCGCCTTTGCCATGGCATGAATACGTCAGGAGAATTTGTTGACCCTTCTTCTGGCGCTCGTGTTCCGAAACCGGACATCGAGAAAAATGCCGAATCTACGGTTTACCAGCATGATCGCCCACTTGCATCTACACTCGATTTTCTCGATCACTCGATCTGGGAGATCGACGGAGATGATGATCTTGCCGTCTCCGGCGTGGAAGCCTGTGAAGTGAATCTTGGTGCTGACACCCATGACGTACGACGTCTCATGTTAGCTGAATGCCGTGTAGCGGTTTTTCATATTTCTTCATATGCATGGAGTGGTGCTTACAAAGAGACGTGCCAGAAATGGCTCCAATTTGTCGCAAGCTGTGTCGAGCACCAGTGTGACTTTTTGTCCGGCGACGGCAACCTTTTCGCACAGCGAAGTTTTAAGTCTGATGACCATTCCGATTTCCGGACATGCATCATGATCGACATCCTGGAACGCTTTCTCCAGCAGATCAATCTTCACCGCAGTCCGATCAACCGTATTACGTATAACGTAGTTTCATCGACCACTGCCGCTGATTACATCCGAAGCATGCGTGGAGATGATGCTGATTGTGATTCAATGCTTTTAATCTCTCTTTGTTACGGTAAGCAGATCGCTGTCACGGAAGCACGTGCCAAAGAAGAATCCGCTTCTGCAGATGGATTTGCAGGATCAGCTTTTTCAGACGAAGTCATGTTGAACGATGTTGAACAGTTAAAACATTTGATGGCATATGATCTTGGTTTGGCTGAGAAGGACTGTGGATGGCATTCACCTCTACTGACATATGCCCAGTTAAAATCATTGAAAAATATGCGCATCCGATCCAAGGAATCTGAAGATAAAAGACGTGAAAAATGGATGCAGAAAACTCAAGGATATCTCGATAAACGAGAAGAAAGAAGAGACAGCGTTCCGCCTTTGCGGACTGATTCACACCGAAATGTTGGACGCACTCGAAGTCGATCGGTCAGCAGGACCAGAAGCTATCGACCCAGGACTGAAACACCAGCACCGCCTCCGGCACCTGCTCGAGGTCCAGCAGAGAAACCTAAACCAGTGCAATATAAAGCAGCACCGATGTCCTTAAAAGAACCATCAGCACCGACGTCATCAGGATCTTCCTCAAGTGCTCGGCCGCCTGTAAAGGCTCCTCCAGTTCCGGCTTCCGGACGAACATTAGGTTCACAACAGCCAAGAACGCCACCTGATCCGCCAGGTCCACCGAAGACTCCACCGCCGTGGAGAGAGAGATCGCAGCAGGCCGAACAGAGGCAAACAACCCGAAAAAGGCCAATCAACGTACCTGAGCCTCCTGCGCCTCCATCCCGCATGACGGGTTCGCAATGGCTTGACCAAGGAACAGCTTCCAGCTCTTCCGGGTACCGTAATTACGGTTACAACTATGATCAGCCGTCGTACTATAGAGTGAATCCTCATACCTCTAATGTAGAATACGTCCCAGGGTACCAAGTACCCAGACAGCGTTGGGTTCAGAAATACGACGGATCGTGGCTTGACATGATTCCGCAAACACCGGATCAGTCCATTTTCTTTCATCAGACCGGTGAACTCCGAAGGAGGAACGAACTGAGTTTCTACGGTTACTATTTCACTATGGGCTTGTAGCCCCAAAAAAACTGCAATGTTCCGCATTTGCGGTCGCTTGCCAACAGCCGAGAACACCGCTTTCCAACAGCGGAGAGTAGCTTTTTGTACAGTCTTGTATTTGTCTTCGGACCGTCTCACAGCAGATCACAGGCTGAGCGCTACCTGTGAAACAGATTTGCATGTTCCGACACGAAGAAAATTTGTGTCTGTTTGTGATTTCTTTTTGTTTACGTGTCTACACAATGCAGTCATGCATGTTGACATGTACACTTAATTCATATCTTTCATGCGCACTCCGCATGGCTCAAGACTAGCAGCAATTCCGCAGCATAGAAAAGTGTCCGCCTGTCACTGCTTGACACAGGTGTTTAGGATAGTGTTCCAGGGCTCCCTTAAAGGGGAAAGCTACCTCACCCCCCCTTGAAGAAGTCCCCCCCCTCCCTTGTTTGAAGAAGAAGCCCCCCCCCCTTAAGAAGTCCCCCCCCCTCCCTTGAAGAAGTCCCCCCCTCCCTTGTTGAAGAAGAAGCACCCCCCCCTTGAAGAAGTCCGGTATCCCTCTACCGGGGAGATCTGAGAAATGGAGAAAAACTTCACCTGCAGATACTCTCAGGTCTGTCCATAAGCCCTTCTTATGTTTGGTACTTTGGGGAACACGCTGTTTAGAGACTTGTTTCGGGAATCATGTCTTTGCGAAACCTGGGAAACAAATCTTGGGAACCACCTGCCGAACCTTCAATGAGACCCACAGATCAGATTGATCACTTCAAATAGTAAAAAAACTATTTCCAACTAAAGATGGGGGCGGAAGAATTTGCTGCAAACAGCTCATTGAAACCAGAAGAAATGGAAGATATATCTGTAATATAGCCTACCAAAAGATGTTCAACCAAGAAGGCAAATAACCTTGATCTTCTGACAACCTTCTGGTTGTGTTCTTCAAGCAGAGTACCTTTGAATACCTTTTACAGACCGAGTATCAAATCCTTACACTTACCGTGGCAGAAGACCCCAAGCATTCCCTTTTGGACTTGTTGGACGGCAACTTTCCCGAACAACTGGCCCCCAAGCGCCCCAACCCTCTTGGAGGAGCTTCCAGGCTAAACCTTGGCGCAGCTGGAAGGTTGATGCCACCAACCACCTCCCAACTTTCGAATCGTTGGTTGTCTCCAGTACCACCTACGATTTCTGGGATGAATCGCAAGCAGCAAACGATTTTTTTCGTGAATCCCGAATTTCGGTGCTTGATTTCAGGATCTTTGTTGGTTAGCCCAGTTAACCCCCCAACTTTTGGTGTTCAACCACTGTTCTTCCCATTTGAAGCCCCGGCCATTCCGCCGTGTTCGGCCGCCAGGTGGTGCCATCGCCCAGCGAGAGCTTCACATTCAAAATGCCGTACTGCAGGCAGATGGTTTCAGAGGTGGCTTCCAACGTCGGATTTATTGAAAGATGGTTTGATCCCACAAAAAACAGGTAAAGAAAAGCATCAAAATGATGGTTTGACCAAAATTGTCCAAAAGTCTACCAATTTTTGCCAGGTAAGCCCCCACCGAAACTAATTGAGCGTTTCCCACCCGTTTCCCACCGAAACTCCACAACCGGTTCATCTCGGTTCCTTGCGCAGCACTGTGCGACACGCTGCAAGTCGTTGCTCGGCCACGTCGACACCAGTCACCTTTTTTAGTGAAGCGATGTGAAGCGAACATCGGTCAGAGGTTTCCCAGCTATTTGCTGATTTAATCATGTTTAATCCTCAGATTCCCGCTCATTTTGGAGATTGATCCACATGTGTTGTTCGAACTGTCAAACACAATGGCCAGTCTCGACCAGTCGAGAAACCCAGCCAGAAGGTGAAACAGGGTATCTGGGTTCGAGAAAGCAGCAGGACTTCAGTAGTCAACAAGAGCAAGGAGCGGGAAGGAAGTGGAGAGCAAGCGAGAGAAAGGAAGAGAGAGGAGGCAAAAGAGAAAGGAAAAGCAAGGAAAAGCAAGAAACACGGAGGAACAACAATGAGGAAGAAGTAACGTGGAAGAAGGAAGAGCAACTCAGAGCAAAGAAGAACTGGGAAGGGGAAGGAAGAGCAAAAAGTAGGAAGAAAGAAGGAGGAAGAACTAGCAAAAGCAAGGAGGAAGGACGAGAAAAGAGTAGAAAAGGAGAGCAGGGGAGTGCAAGGAGGAAGAACGAGAAAGAAAAAGCAAGGAAAGGGAGGAGGAAGAAGGAAGAAGGAGAAGGAACAAGGACGAAGGAGGTGAAAGGACGAATTAGGAAGACAAGGAATAGAATGGAGAAAGAGAATAAACTGGAAGGCATTGCAAGGAAGACTGCAAAGCAACAGAAACAAGGACAAGGAAGTGAAACCATGCTAGGAAACGACGCTAGGACAATCAGCCTGAAAAGCAGCCAGAATTAGAATTGGTAGGAAAATGGTCAGGAAAGCGAATAGAAGAAGGGATAGGAGAAGAAATTGGAAAGGGAATAGGGAAAGCAAAGGAGGACACACATAAACAGCCATCTCCGGCCTTCCAGTAGGGGCCCTATGTGGTCAGATTTGTATAGTCTGCCAGCTGTCTGTCTATCTTCGAAACGGAAACCTATGGTTTTGGGGATCTCCGATGTCAAGACAAACCAACATGAAAATAAAGCACTTGGATAAACATGCGGGATTTTGCAACAATAACAAAGATAGATTTAGATTTGTTGTTTTGTTGTTTGTTACTCGCAGTATCAATCCGAAACATCATTGTAACCATCTATAATATATTATATATATATACATACCATATATGCAATGATTTTATAAATTAAATGTGTATCAAGATAAGAAAAATCAAACTGGTTGCCACAGAGAATCACCCAGGCGGTCACGCCCGGTTTCGTCTTGAGGTGCTGGCTGTGCCATCAGGTCCGACTGCATCGCTGAGCGTGCAAAGCTTGGCACCTAAAAGCTTCAAATTGAAAGAAAAAACACATTTATTAGATAGTTATATAATGATTTATGGAAATTAGATATATATAATCATCTGCAATGGTTTGCCCCCAATTCAAATAGTAGTTCCCATCTGTTTATGGATGTTTGTGGGGATGTGATGGAGATAAAATGGGAATATAAAATATAATGGGAAAAATTGGAGATGACGGAATCTAGAGGGAAAGTAATGGGATGTGACGGAATCCAGGGAGACTTACATAGATCGAGAAAATGTCCACTACTTCCCAACCATCAAAAATTGGGGAAGTAGCGATGTGGCAAACACACTACTGGGATGACCCCCAGTGGGTTGAGACCCACCTACACCCCCAGTTCCAAGCAGAAAATCGTCGTTTCCCCAGTTCCAACTAGAAATCAATAGGGAAACGGTGACTGAAATTTCAACGGCCTCAAACAACACTTCCCCAAAAACAACTTGTCGCCACACCTGGCGCGCAACAGAGATCCAAGATATGATCCTTGGGCCTGCGCGGCCGGGTCGAGGTTTCCCAGTTGGGATAACCCAGGAATTGGTGAATTCCCCAGTTACTGTCAACCAATTCCAGTTTCTTTCCAGTTTCTATGAACGTTGAACGGTCAAATCATCCACTGTCAACCAGGGATTCATGTGATCCTTGGACCCTTGGGCGAGATGTGGATTTCCCAGCAGCTGCTTTAAAGGGGAAAATTCTTTCCGCAAGGCCTAACTATCAGAAAGTCAACTGCCTGCTCATCCACACCGGCAATTTCAAGCTGCAAGTCTCAAGACCCTCATACTCTGGTAAACATCCGGGCTGTTCGGTTTTGAATGGTTTTCCCAAAAAGCTATGTGGGTTCTCAAACTTGGGGGCCCAAAGAATCATCCCAAAAATCCAAGATTAGAGTGCCCCATTTGGGGAAAATAGGATATACCCATGTCTGGCCAAATTTCCTAGAAGGAAAAGACAGCAAACCATCAAAGTTTGCAGTGGCTTTCCCAAAGCCGCGACCCACTTCGTCCTTGGCTGCAAGCAACAGACTGCGAAGACTGAAGCAGCATCAACACCTTGGTTGACGCATCATTTCCCCTGATATCTTGGTGAACTCCGAAATTGAAGTTGTTTATGGATCTTCATCCTCTAGAAATATTGGAAATGAATGAAAATTATAGGTTTTGATGAGCATGAGATCCATAAAATGAATACGTTCTATCTCCTACAATGGTTTTCTTCACGAAGTGTTAAAGTTTGAAGTTTGTTGGCTTGGGAAATTCGAAGTGCTAGGTGGGAGGCAATTTTGGGGTCCCATTCTACTGCCCATTTCATACTATAAACCTACCATGGATAGGATGGATTTGGACCGCCTTTTGTTGGAAAATCTTGGGATACTCCGGGAGTGCGGCCGTACAAGCTCCCGTTGCGATAAGCCTTGGTGGAGCCGCAGCAAGGCGATGGAAAATTCCCCATTCTCGAAATGTAAGTTCCTATATTCATAGTGGTTAATAGTGGTTAAAAACACTGAGTTGAGTTCATTCTTTTCCATGTTGAGTTTGCCATCCGAAATTGCCAGAAACACAGCAGGCACATGACTTTGGATCCACGACCAGCTTTAAAGTTGAAGTTGTCCTATCAACACCACCATGGCACCATGTGTTTTCATAGACATCGCTGGCCCTATCTTGGATAGCTGGGATCTGTGGGAAGGAACAGTTTGGGATTTTTTCACTGTGTTTCCGTTGCCAGCTTTTGAATCTGTCTCGTGGATTTGTTGAGTCAACGACTTTGTCTTCAAGAACCTAAAAATCCGCCCACACCGCTTTGGCGGTGAAGGCGTGCTTATTGGGGGGCAACAGCAACACTAAATGCTCAATGACATTTGTTAATATAGCAGTCGCTATATCAGCTTTAGCTGGGGGGGGGGCCCAAAAACGGTTTCGCACCGAGACCAGAATACGGTGGTGTTTTCGACATTTTTCGAGGATTTTTGGGTGTCTGAGCGCAAGAGGGTATTGAAATGGAATTTTGGGTCATTTTGGTAGCTTTCCGGCAATGGAAAAACGGCCAAAAATGAAAAAAACATTGTACATAGCAAGATTTTGCAGGGTTTTTGGATGCCAGAGCATTGAAAACACTGCAAAAACAAGTGTTTTGGACTGACGTTATAGCAAAAAACGTGTAAATTACCGTATGCTTGACTGGAAACATTACAAAAACACTGTCAAAAGCAATGTTTTGGAAGGATTTACTGCCTTTATGGCAAAAAACGTGTAAATTACCGTCTGTTTGACTGGAAACATTGGAAAAACACTGTCAAAAACAATGTTTTGGAAGGATTTCTTATATATATGTTGGAGTTGGCTACCGGCATTGGCACATGGAAAAATTGAAGAAAACACTGTAAATAGCGGTATTTTCAACGGTTGGGGAGATAAGGGAATTGGAAGCATTGTCGAACATGATGTTTTCGACCGGTTTTATGGCGACAAAAGTGTAAAGTACCGTGCTTTGAAGGAAACCATTGCAAAAACATGGAAACACATTCAAAGAACACGGGATTTGGGGGACTATCTAGGCGTCGTTGTCTAGCTATTTGAAATTCCGCAGCTTGGAGAGCCTCCAAGGGAGGGAAAAGTGAAAATTCCATAGCTTGGGAAGCTGTCACGGCGGGGAAAAGTGAAAATTCCCTAGCTTGGGAAGCCCCCACGGGGGGGAAAAGTGAAAATTCCCTAGCTTGGGGGGAAAAGTGAAAATTCCCTAGCTTGGGGAGCCCCCACGGGGGTGAAAAGTGAAAATTCCCTAGCTTGGGGAGCCCCCACCGGGGGGGAAAGTGAAATTTCTTAGCTTGGGGAGCCCCCACGGGGGAAAACCACCCTTAGCCCCTCTCACGGACCGAAATAAACCTGCGGTGATTGTTGATAGTAATACAGCGTTTGTTCCATCCGTCTTCTCCCGCAAACACCCATTGTTGCTGCTGATACACTGTGCAAACGCATCATTGCTGGCTCTTTTGAGTTTTGAATCTGCATCAGTAGATTCTCTGGGAATTACATCGCCAACTTTGACCACTCCACATCTGACACACCAACTCTACCCCACACCTCAGTGCGAGAGAGGTTGCTTGAAGCCTGGGCATTGGAGGGGGATTTGGCAACATCACCATCTGCTCAGGAAAATCATTCTGATAGCGATGATCCCTACCTTAATAGCTTGCATCATGAACATTCTTTGAACCTGACGTGGGTATTGGCTATCCTCCCCTTCGGAAATTCTGCACATGATTTGCTGCTAGGGAATTTCACCATCCAGCTCACGAAACAAACGCTTTTCAAGACTTCAAAGCAGTAAACCTCAATAGACATACAAATCAATCATCATCATCATCAACGGGTGCTGGCCAGTTGTCAGATCAGCGGGAAACTCAGAGCCAACAGTTTCGACTGTTTCGGCGTTTCGGCACTTGGAATTTTGCCTCTCGTAAACATTCTTCATTGTTCCCAATGATGCTTTCGCTTACTCTTGTAAGCCACAACATGTCCATGAAGAAATGCACCCCGCGCCCCAATCCATCGCTTTTTCCATTGCACGCCACTTGAAATCTGCCCTTCCGCCACCCCCTACGAAAAACATCACACACTGGGCTGCTAAGGATGGGACTGGGCAGGCATAAACCTCCATGTAGCGATGATCGGTGACCTACCAGTGAATTCAAACGCTTTCCAAAAGGTTTACCCAATTTCGTCCCAGGGCCCATTGGCCATGTGACTACCCATGAATCCAGCTTTGCAACCCAAGAGAGCAATGTTTCGGGGTTTCAAGGTTCCGTTCCAGTTCTGTTCCGGCTTTGGGCTCGTCAAGCAAACGACCTACCACCCGACTCAGAGATTGAAACCCACAGGCACTGCTGTTTTGGGAATTCAAAATGCGAAAACCTACAACAACTTTTCCTGGATCGAACGGAGCCATTCAGCCCTCGTTTCGAAGTGCCAAAAGGCGCTGGTCGGACTGCTGCACCTCTCCAGCGCGCAGCCATTGGACCAGTTGCACCGCACTCTGCTCAGTTTGAAGCGCTTGGCTGATGGCCTGTGGACATGGGAACGGGAGGCGCTCAGCCCCCCAGCTGATTCATACCACAGATAGGACATAGGATTGGCGGCTATTGATACCAGGCTGATAGCCGGCATGGCAGAACCCAGGACTAGAGCCATTTTGAGTCATCCAATAAAAATTCAAAGGGCAAACGCAACATTCTAGGTATACGATCAGCTACCATTGAAGGTATGCATGATCCCAAGTGGTGAGGGTAAGGTGACCACCCGTTTTGTTAATGCCTACGAAGGCAGGATTTGTGAAATGACCAGTTAAACTCCTTAAGTTGCAACGAGCGACTACCCAGCTGTTTCTTGACGATATGTCCTGTTTGGTCCGCCATCGTGAGGTTTGATCATCTGGATGGAGAACCTATCTTTGTGGTGGCTGCACTTGGAAAACAGATGATCCCTGTAATGGTCATATACATACAATATATATATATATATATTGCTATGGATCAGTACCTATAAAATGCATTAAAATGCCATTTGCAGCCGGATGAACATTCATTTACTGGCTACTTTGATCCTCACCAGCAGGGTTTTGATTTTGACCTATCCCCAGATTCTGTTGAGAAGTTCAAATCAGCTGCCAAGACTAGAGGCTGTGATTGGTGGCGTGTGCTTCTCAGTATCGAGAGGTTGGGCATCAAACAGTTCCAATTTGTCCAGTCCTGTGATGCCCAGCAAAATAATTGGTTGGGCCATCCCAGAAAATACCTAAACTGTCCTGAAAACAATGTCAAAATTATTGGAGTGCTGCAAAATAATACTTGCACACGAGTACATCATGGGAAAATTGCGAGGAAACTCCCAAAAGATCCACCCTTGATTCAAAGTCGTCAATGCTCATCAAACACTGTTGGTTACATATTCCATGAATATCCCATTACCTCATAAATCTCATATAAATCTCATATAAATATCAGATAAATCTCATATAAATATCTATAAACTGATCTATAAACTGCTTGGTTTGAAATCCTCAAATTCAACCGAGCACGCCTTCTGCCGCTCTGCCGGAGACAAGTCGGCGAAGGGTCCCCTGGCCGGACCCTTGGGATCACCGAAATCATGATCTCATGCGACAAAAATGACGGATCTACAGCATATCCAAAGTGAAATGATTCCAGAAGAAAATGATATCATTTATATATATATTATATATATATATATGAAATAATTCCATCATGATGTAATATGATGTAATATGAATATATCATTATCATAGATGGTGTTTCATGAGACCCTTCATGAGACCCACATGATATCCCAGTCTGAACGATTCACACCTCGGATTCACACGGACATAGCGAGGGATCTCTTGCCGGATGGCACCAGTAAAGACCTCAACTCGGGTCGGTCGTTGTGCAATGAAACCTGTTTTTTGCCACGCTGTCCTGAATCCAAAAAAGATAAAGCGTAACAAAGACACAACCGAAATTGGAATGATGGAATGATTGAAACGAAAGTCTTTCATCATGATTCTGGTAGTTCCTAACCTCTTCATCCCTTTTCTCCTTGAGTGATTGGTGGTTTCTCCTCATTCAGTGGCAGATCAAAGGCAACCCCACCTCTTTGGGGACACCATTGGCATCTAGGAATTGCAAGAACTCCTGCACGTGCTATGGGAGTTGTCACTTTCTTATGTCATCTCTCCTGCGATGACAAAAGCAGGGTCAGGTTTCCGTCTGCTTCGCTTTCAGTGCTTTCTGATTGTAAATATGTTGCCTCAACCAGATGGTCACCACCAACCCTCAGATGTTCATTCTGCTTGACTACGCGAACAGGTCAAAATTCTCGGCTCCCATTGGAATTCAACAAGTAACCCCCAGCAATACGAGGTCAGTGGAACACCTTTAGGTAGGAACTCAATTGGGAACATGACCTCGGAACTGGTCCCATGTTTGACTTCCTGCTACCGTTGACTCACTCACTCTCTATCCCTGTCCTCAGGCAACGAGCCAGGCACTTGGTCGGCAGCTTTGTCGCCCTGCAGGGATGGTGTGGGCATTCCTAAGCCCTTCAGAGTGGCTGAGGGGAACACAATCCATGGAGATAAATGGAATTTCTATGGATCCTAATATTATATCGATTTGTTAAGAGAGACATAAGTGGAGCTCCTGAAAATCTCTATCAACCAATTTCTCTATCCTTACACCCCCTAGGCCCTAGGCGGATACCTAGGGGAAAAACTTCACGGGGGCCGAAACATCTATCTCTCCTGTTTCGGCTGATCCCTGATAACCCCCAATACCTCGAAAGTCCCCGAGAACGATAAACCCCTGTTGGCATTCATAAAAAATCGAAGTGTTCAATGAATTCATGTTCCCCCATTGTTGAAATGGTGATGTTTCCACTTAAAAGCAGCCCCACAAGAATCAAGGGTCCAGTCGGGTCCAGTCAGGTCCAAGGGTCCAGTCGGGTCCAGTCGGGTGATTCACATCGCATCAGCCTCAGATTCACCTTCTGCCATGGTGACCGCCGACACTGCGTTTCTCACCCTGGATTCATCTGTTAGGATGGAAGCTCCAAACTTTCTGACACGATCTTTTTGCATTTGTTGTGGTGCAAAACCTAGAGTTTGCAGCGGTTGAAACTTCGAAGGCAATGTCAAATATTCAGCTTCACTTCATTTATCCAGTTGCATTTTTTTAAAGTATTGTTTGGATTCGTTGTCCTATCCGAGACTGCTCACCTCTCAACATGTTATTCCCTGCAACATGGGATGTCTCTCGGTGATGAGCACCACCTGGCGTGGTGTCAAGAGCCTGAAATTGCGCCATTAGAAATACCCTGGTTGATTCAGTCAACCAATTTAGTATATAAATGACTGCTATGAAAATACTTAGTACCCAAGAATGATAGTCATTAATAATACTTAGTACAAGAACCTAACAACCAGTAGAATGAACCTCCTCTCCTGGGAGTCAGCTTGAAAACTCCCCGCAATGGAACATGGGTGTGTCTAAAGATGGCGTGTACCTTAACATAGCCTTTCCGATAGGGGAAAGTCATGACCAAGCATTGGATTTTGTTGGGGTTTTCCCCTAAATTATCAGACAAATCCTCGCAAACTGGAATCTGAGCCCTGTCGTACCTCTTTTTGCACCAAATAACTTCACTTGGTGAAGTCGCAAGTGCAAACAAAAAAGACACTAAAAGTAAGCCAACCCAGATGAGGTTCGGTGAAATTTAGTTGACCTTGCAAATGCCAGAAATATCCAGTTTTTGTTTGCGGGCAAAAAAAAACAGTAAAACCTATTTGAATTTCAGCCATGACTGGGCTTGGATCAATTTATATCCTTGCTCCGTCTCTCATTACCAGAGTTACAAATGTTGCTCTTCACCGAACCACATTGAGTTATTGTCACTTGGTGACCATCGGATCTCAAAGGCACTGATTCAGTCGAAGATTCAGCTGCAAATTGGGGTACATTTTCCAGTACCATCGTGTAGAACTGTTTTTTCGCATTGAACCTTACGATGACCCTAACCAGTGATGCCCACATCTCTCAGATTCACCGGCCACTTCTGATAGGGAAGTTCCTGACAGGACCAACTGAGGCTTCCCCAGGCTTCGAAGGTTTCTACCCAGGCCCCTGCTTCCGTCTTCAGCACAAAAGATATATTATAGCCATTTTACATATAATATATAGACATTTTACATATAATATATGTATATATATATATATATATATGTATATATATGAGTGGCGGACAAAATTACTTACTACCCGCAATGGACATGGCCAAAGTGCGTGGTCCCCTATTGGTTGTGAAGGTGTGTACTTCCATGCTGTGTGTGTAGAAATAGGGTATCGGCAAGTGGGTAGTCCCCTATCGATTGTGAATGTTTTCGCACAAATTTGAACATCCCATGTCCACTCCCCACTACTTTGGTCTTCCGCTAATTTTGTCCAGGCCCTGCCACCCCCCACCCTCCCCCCTCCCCATGGGATGGGTCCCATATACTGCCACCATATGAGATCTTCCCCCTCCCCCCCCTGTGGTGTGGTGGGGGTGTGGTATGGTATGTTGGGTATGTATGGTGTGTATGGTCGGTCTGGTATGGCATGTTTGGAAAGTATGGTATGTTTGGTATGTATGGTAGGTATGCTATGTATGGCATGAATGGTTGTTGTTGTATGGATGGTAAGTATTGTATGTAAGTCTGTTGGGTGTGGTATGTTTGATATGACAGTATGTATGGTATGTATGGTTAGTATGGTTACTATGATGGGTATGGAATGTTTCCTATGTAAGGTATGTATGGCATGTATGTTTGGTATTGTATGCATGGTAGGTGTGGCAATGATGTTTCATATGTATGGTATGTGTGGTATGTATGATAGGTATGATAGGTATGATACGCATGGCATCATGGGAATGTATGGTAGGTACGGCATATGTTCAACACATGTAGTGTTGTGAGAGTACACAGGTAGTAAATAGGAAGTAGATACATAGCACGTGTATATATGACTATAGGTGGCACATAGGTACTTTGAGGGAGTATGTGTGCTACGTAAGTCGCCTAAAAGGTAGCATGTACCTAGTAAATGCGAGGCTGGTAGTCAGAAATGCTGCAAAGACCTAACAAATACGAGGCTGGACCTCAGAAATGCTGCCAATAGCTTGCAAATAGAAGGGAAAGGGGGGTGCTACCTGGGGGCCCAACCCATTGGGGGGGTGGGTGGAGAGACGGAGGAGACCATATATATATATAATATATATATATATACATATACATAGAGAGAGAGAGAGAGACAGATGCAGTTCATTTTGTTCCGCCTTCAAGTCAAAAAACCTAAGATGGAAACTGGAAAATTGGATGCAAACAGATGAGCTCCAACTTGGATATGGCTTATAAAAGATCTTGGGTTTCTGCCAAAAATCCATCTGTGACTAGTGAACATTCCCATTTGCCACAAGATTTTCCATCGGTTGGCCAGTTCCCACGGTTTCAACCCCGTCCTTTCCAGTCTCACCAAGCGAGGCTCCGCAGGCTCCTACACATCCCCATGGGTTGATGAAAAATCGCCAGGGGGATCCCATGGATCCAAGTTTAGACATTTTTCGGACCATACAAAGGGGGGTGTTTCCTATTAAAGGGAAGGGATTATATGAAATTATATGAAAGTATATGAATATGAAGCCCAAGGTACCAAACTATATTCATATCATATACATATATATATATTCATATCATATATATATATATCATGTGGTATATTATGGATTAGATTATATTACCTAACCTATATCCATTGGGATGGGATTATATTATGGGATCATACCCAACTTACATCCACGTGGAAGCTGGGCGCCAAGCTGACGCTTGGAACACGGCTGACGCTGATAGGACAGATGCGGAGGCGCAACGCCTGAATGGTGGAATGGTCGGTATGGTCGGGTTGTAGCTACAATTTTGGATCTGACCTAAACATACCTAAACAACATAGCATCCGCTGGAGAGATCTTAGAGAAGTACGAGTAGCATTTGAAACAAGCCAGCTGATTCTAGCCTAAAAATGGGCTGCGAAACAACGCAGAACAACCACCCAAACAATTGCTCTCCAAGACAGACATGGTTGGTGAATAAACTTGGGAACGGAGATATACCATGTGTAGGTGATGTTTCCATTCCTATATAATTGTGATTCACAATGGCATGCTGCATTGACGGAAGGTACACTATTCATAACTAACATATGATACTCAATCATAGCCCTTAAGCAGGATATTGTTTAGATAGGATCAAAAATTCAAATGGAATTTGTATAGAAATACTGAAATACATCAGCATCAGGACAGGTGCTTTGGATCCCATTCTGAACGTTGCTTGGAACACATTACGAACGTTCGCCTCCTGGCCTCCTGGGGTCGAGTTTGACACCATCCCATGTTTGGAGCCGACCAAAAACTGGAGGTCCCCGACACAGGACCGCTTTTCCTTTTGCTGCGCCTTGGGAATTTGAACAGTGGGACGGGAGGAAGGGACAGAGCATTGCGGAAATGAGCCACTGTTTCTCAAAGAAATTGGAGGAAAAACATCACACATCTAGTTTTAGAACATCTTAAGTATGTTTTCCTGCATCTTTCCATCAGTGCTTTTCCAAGTGGACTCAATGAAGTGAGAAAAATTGTGCTCAGGGGTCTGTTGCTTCAAACCCCAACTTTGCAGGAATACCCACTCCTGCTGACCGGTAAACACCTATTCTGGAAAGCCGTGAACCGAATGAGGGAAACCCAAGAAACAGCCCCAATCCCCAATTCTGGTTTGGTATTGGGTATACCCCTAGTAATGCGATGAACAAAAATGAGCCTCCGACTGTGGTTGCTGGGATGGTCGCTATGCCATTTGGTTCACATCAAAATGCTTTGCTGATTACCAAAACATACGAGTGTCTATGTATATAATATATGCAATATAATATATATATATAGTAATCCCAAAAAAGGTAGATAGAAAAGCAACGGATCACCAATTTAGCGGGATTTGACTCTTCTCTCTTTTTGGGAGTTGTTTTTTTTTAATGTACAAACATGTGATTTTCCAGTCAGCTTCACCATTCCATCACCTCCGCCATGGCACCATTCCATGATGCAAGGCCGCTGGACCTCAATGACCCGCCTCACGGTTTTGTTTTGACCAAAACATGGAGATTGAAACAACCATTGTTCGCAACCAAGACGGTTGGCAACCATACTACCTTTGGTAGATATTGTTTCTTTTCTTTGCTCGCAAGCGTCTTTTCTGACGCATTGAATCATTGTTCTTTGAGTGATCACCTCGCAAGCGGATGTCATCTAGGGATTTTGTCTCTGCTCATGGGTTTATGGCCAATGTTCCGGACATGTCATCGCATGGTATGGATCAGCCTTGAATCGGATATCAGCAGGAAACCTCATAACAACTAACCAAAAACACCCAATCCACAAGCAATCAAAAAAACTAACCACATACCCCAATCAAAAAAGAACTCCAACTCTTCAACAAGACTTGTCTTGTTGAAAAATTGACCGCCTAAAACAGAACAGAAACTACCACAAAAAAAAAACATCACAAAACCAATCAGAACAACTAACCACAAACAACCAACCCACAAGCAATCATAACAGCTAACCACAAATTCACAAATAACTCATCAAACAAATCATCCAATACACTCCCATTTTTTCAACAAGACTTGTCTTGTTGAACATTTGCGCCCAGAATTATGACACAATGTAATGATAAACCATTTCCCCATAAATCACAACAACGCCTCGTCACTTTTTGCAGAGCAACTATGTCACTACGTGGTCAGCGTCAAGCTGGGAACCTCTCATTCCCGTGGCAAAAGAAAGCATGGCACGTCAGTGTCACGTTCAGGGACAAACTGCGCGTCATCACAACTAAGATGGGAGCGTCCCAGTGTCGCATTACTAGAATCAATAACCTGGTCCCGGTACGAAATTACGAAAGATCATCATCTCAGGGTTGTGGCACATCCTTGCTTTCATCCAATGGCAAGTCTCCACAATCCATCGCTCCACACCTTGACGAGTGCCCACTAAAAGGAGCCTCGTGAGGTCACCATGCAGGGACTTGTGGCAGAAGCGACTCTCGAAAGGAAACTTCGCCTCGTTCAGGACGTCTGTTCCAATGGATTCAAAGTCGTGGCAGGACGAAAGAACATTGGTCACATTGGTCACGGTCAAAGGGATCGATTTCTTGACACGGAGGCACTGGCTGAAGAAAAGAAGCGGGGTGCTGATACAGAAGGGTGATCCATTTCCTGAGGCATTGGCCAGATTTTTTTTCGTGCAAATGCCTGCCGCCGAAGTGAAGTTGATAGCTCCCATACGGCGCGGCCATAGGTGATACATACTGAGGTCCATCCACCCGCCACGAAGAGTGTAATTGTAGCCGTTCATGAGTTCTTCTTCGCTGCAATTGGGAGGCTCAGGCAAATGGTAGCCAGCGGCAAAGGTGCTCAACAGGAGGGTGGTGAAGAGCATCATGGGCGATGGCGGGGAACAATCTACTTTGATTGCTGAGGACTGGGGATACCTAAATTCACCACTTGGGAAGAATATAGCAGTAGCATCTACGCAATGGTTGTTTATCTTCCCAGACTTTACCATCTCAAAGTACTGCTTTTGCTTTTCTTCAAATGTGCCCCTTGGTTTTCCTATCCCTTTCTTTCAAAAATCTCTCCAACTTTTTCTTTTCAGCTTCCTTGTCCTCAGCATCTTTACATTCTGTAAGTTCATTCAACTTAGCAAAGATTGCTCTTTGGTTGTCGCTAATATTTGTTTACCTTTTCCCATATTTGGAGCCGACCAAAAACTGGAGGTCCCCGACACAGGACCGCTTTTCCTTTTGCTGCGCCTTGGGAATTTGAACAATGGGACGGGAGGAAGGGACAGAGCATTGCGGAAATGAGCCACTGTTTCTCAAAGAAATTGGAGGAAAAACATCACACATCTAGTTTTAGAACATCTTAAGTATGTTTTCCTGCATCTTTCCATCAGTGCTTTTCCAAGTGGACTCAATGAAGTGAGAAAAATTGTGCTCAGGGGTCTGTTGCTTCAAACCCCAACTTTGCAGGAATACCCACTCCTGCTGACCGGTAAACACCTATTCTGGAAAGCCGTGAACCGAATGAGGGAAACCCAAGAAACAGCCCCAATCCCCAATTCTGGTTTGGTATTGGGTATACCCCTAGTAATGCGATGAACAAAAATGAGCCTCCGACTGTGGTTGCTGGGATGGTCGCTATGCCATTTGGTTCACATCAAAATGCTTTGCTGATTACCAAAACATACGAGTGTCTATGTATATAATATATGCAATATAATATATATATATATAGTAATCCCAAAAAAGGTAGATAGAAAAGCAACGGATCACCAATTTAGCGGGATTTGACTCTTCTCTCTTTTTGGGAGTTGTTTTTTTTAAATGTACAAACATGTGATTTTCCAGTCAGCTTCACCATTCCATCACCTCCGCCATGGCACCATTCCATGATGCAAGGCCGCTGGACCTCAATGACCCGCCTCACGGTTTTGTTTTGACCAAAACATGGAGATTGAAACAACCATTGTTCGCAACCAAGACGGTTGGCAACCATACTACCTTTGGTAGATATTGTTTCTTTTCTTTGCTCGCAAGCGTCTTTTCTGACGCATTGAATCATTGTTCTTTGAGTGATCACCTCGCAAGCGGATGTCATCTAGGGATTTTGTCTCTGCTCATGGGTTTATGGCCAATGTTCCGGACATGTCATCGCATGGTATGGATCAGCCTTGAATCGGATATCAGCAGGAAACCTCATAACAACTAACCAAAAACACCCAATCCACAAGCAATCAAAAAAACTAACCACATACCCCAATCAAAAAAGAACTCCAACTCTTCAACAAGACTTGTCTTGTTGAAAAATTGACCGCCTAGATTTATGAAACAACATCAGCCTAAAACAATACCCCCATAAACCAGAACAGAAACTCACCACAAAAAACATCACAAAACCAATCAGAACAACTAACCACAAACAACCAACCCACAAGCAATCATAACAGCTAACCACAAATTCACAAATAACTCATCCAATACACTCCCATTTTTTCAACAAGACTTGTCTTGTTGAACATGTGTGCCCAGAATTATGAAACAATGTAATGATAAACCATTTCCCCATAAATCACAACAACGCCTCATCACTTTTTGCAGAGCAACTACGTCACTACGTGGTCAGCGTCAAGCTGGGAACCTCTCATCCCGTGGCAAAAGAAAGCAATGAAGCACGCCAGTGTCACGTTCAGGGACAAACTGCGCGTCATCACAACTAAGACGGGAGCGTCCCAGTGTCGCATTACTAGAATCAAGCTGATCCCGGTACGAAATTCCGAAAGATCATCATCTCAGGGTTGTGGCACATCCTTACTTTCATCCAATGGCAAGTCTCCACAATCCATCGCTCCGCACCTTGACGAGTGCCCACTAAAAGGAGCCTCGTGAGGTCACCATGCAGGGACTTGTGGCAGAAGCGACTCTCGAAAGGAAACTTCGCCTCCTTCAGGACGTCTGTTCCAATGGATTCAAAGTCGTGGCAGGACGAAAGAACATTGGTCACATTGGTCACGGTCAAAGGGATCGATTTCTTGACACGGAGGCACTGGCTGAAGAAAAGAAGCGGGGTGCTGATACAGAAGGGTGATCCATTTCCTGAGGCATTGGCCAGATTTTTTTTCGTGCAAATGCCTGCCGCCGAAGTGAAGTTGATAGCTCCCATACGGCGCGGCCATAGGTGATAAATACTGAGGTCCATCCACCCGCCACGAAGAGTGTAATTGTAGCCGTTCATGAGTTCTTCTTCGCTGCAATTGGGAGGCTCAGGCAAATGGTAGCCAGCGGCAAAGGTGCTCAACAGGAGGGTGGTGAAGAGCATCATGGGCGATGGCGGGGAACAATCTACTTTGATTGCTGAGGACTGGGGATACCTAAATTCACCACTTGGGAAGAATATAGCAGTAGCATCTACGCAATGGTTGTTTATCTTCCCAGACTTTATCATCTCAAAGTACTGCTTTTGCTTTTCTTCAAATGTGCCCCTTGGTTTTCCTATCCCTTTCTTTTCAAAAACCTCTCCAACTTTCTTCTTTTCAGCTTCCTTGTCCTCAGCATCTTTACATTCTGTAAGTTCATTCAACTTAGCAAAGATTGCTCTTTGGTTGTCGCTAATATGTGTTTACCTTTTCCCATATCTGACTTGAGGTTATAATCCACTTCCTGAGGTTTCATAAGATATATAACTATTTAGAAATTTCTAAATATGTGTTTATGTTTATTTAAAAGTCAATTATCAATTAATCCATATCATTTATTGAACATATCTGGTTACTGCGTGGAGTACCCATAACATCACGTATCATTCTATTGATGCTTTCCGTCTTTTGGTCTTCTGGTGTGATTTGCCTATTCCAGCTAAAGCTAATGCTATGGTCCTGGCTGTCCAGCTTAATGTCTCCCGTTTCATCTCTACTAACATTCATTGTTTTATCGGCTTTACTTAAATGAGCAGGGATTACAAGAGCATTTAACTCCTTTGGGGGTGATTTCTATTTCCTTTCTTAGCTGTAATTTACCCTGACAAAGGGGACAATCAAAAGTTATAAACTTACTTATTGATACTTTTTCTTCTTTATCTAGCTTAATTGTTGCTTGTTGTTGTTGGTTCATCATCTGACAGTTCATAAAATCTTCAGGCACTGCGAAATTTTCAGCATCCCATCTACAAATTGTAGTTCTTTGTCATTGATATTATACCCTCTGGTAATTTAACGTAGCTATGGAAAATCACCATTTTTAATGGGAAAACTCACTATAAATGGCCATTTTCAATAGCTATGTTAGTTTACCAGAGGGTAATGATCTGAGCTGGCTAGCTGGAAACTCCTGGTTTATAGATTTTCTGGATGATGTTCCGGTGACAATGCGAATTTTTTCGCCATGGCCATGCTTTCCAGAGGGTGTCTACCCATCTACCAGGTTGACAGTTCCAGAAAGCGTAGAGATGTTGATGTGCGGTACAAAAAACGAAGCCTTCGATGTCCGTCTAGGCGAAATTAATTGCAACTCCAAAGATAGATGTGGTTTTGTCTGATTTTGGAGAAAAACACCTGGTTTAGCACATGTTTCCCCACTGAAATTGCAACTTGTGGTATCCCCCATGTTTGAAGCCATAGTCTTACCCACGATTCTATCCTCATATCAGCCAGGGGTGTTGGAAACAACCTCCAGGGTCTGCCTCCTTTGAATATCGCTGAGCGCAGTCTGAAAAAGCACGTCCATCTCTGGATGGATCTGTTGCCTGCTCTGGGCTTCACCAGGCAGAGATGAGACCGGTGTCATCAAACGCGGCTGGCTGGAAAATCCGCTATGAATGAAAGTGTTACCCTCTGGTAAATTAACAGTTTGCTATTGAAAATTGCCATAGAAATAGTGGATTTACCCATTGAAAATGGTGGATCTTTCCAGTTCGTTATGTTAGCATAGCAGAGGGTAGTGGCAACGCCATCTACAGATGGTGGATAATTCATTGCCACATTTGATTACCGGAGGATACCTGTCAGTGGTCTATCATATGGGACTCCACCAGTGGAGTCTTCCAGTGGATGACACGTGATGTGGTTTGGCCTCAAGCCAAAACTATCCCTGAGAAACTCAACAACGTGTTTTTGGTACTAGGGTAGGTTTATAACTCCAATAACTTTGGTTTATGACGGTTTATGGTAGGTATATCTATACTTACTATGGTGTATAAACCAACAAACACAATTGGAGGGCACCACCTTGTAGGCTAATTATCTGCAAATTTCGGACTGTCCCAAGAGACCCTATCTCGTTGTGGTCTCCCTTCGCCTGATGTCCTGCACAGTTTCCATATCTTCATCCTGGACGCTGTGGTAAAATCATAGGAATGGGGTGGCAAACTGGGACATTCCAAGGTCACTTTTTGAACCAATGAGTTTAGGGTTTTCCCCAAGTTGTTTGATTGGAACTGATAGGAACTATACCAATGTGGTTTTAGCTGAAATCAAAACCAAAGAATGATCAAAAGTATGTCCAACTGTTATTGCACCCACAACAATGCAACATCTTCGATTCGTTGGTCCAATGTCTTGGATACATGGAGGAACTGCAGATCCATTGGTTAATCCTCAGGATTGCCCCATTGTTTATGGTGATGGGAAATCACCATCTTTAAGAGGTAAATCATCATGTTTATCATCATGTTTATCATCATGTTTGGGCCATTTTCCATATATGACATAGCTACTTTAAATAACCAGAGGGTAATTACCCTCTGGTTACTTAACATAGCCATGGAAAATGGTCCATTTATAGATGGTTTACCTATTAAAAATGGAGATTTTCCATGGCTATGTTAAACTTGAGAGGGGGAACACGAAAGGTAGGTAAGCAAGAAAGGAACCGAAGAAAAAATGAAGGGGAGAGGGGAGGGAAAAATACATAAAGTGGAGTCTGGCAAAAGCGACGCGGCCATTTTCTTTCCAAAAATATGAAGGGGAGTCTGCTAAAAGCGACTGAAAGGCTTCGGCGATGTGGTTGGGGTTGGTGGTGGTTGTGGTGTTGTGGTGTTGGTGGTGCTGGTGGTGTTGGTGTTGTTGGTGGTGGTAGTGTTTCTGGTGTTGTTAGTGTTGTTAGTGTTGTTGGTGTGGTTGGGTTTGTTGGTGGTGTTGGTGTTGTTGGTCGTGTTGTTGGTGTTGGTATTGTTCTGCTGTTGCTGTTGATGGTGTTGTTGTTGTTGTTGTTGTTGTTGTTGTTGTTGTGTGTTGTTGTGTGTTGTTGTGTGTTGTTGTGTGTTGTTGTGTGTTGTTGTGTGTTGTTGTGTGTTGTTGTGTGTTGTTGTGTGTTGTTGTGTGTTGTGTTGTTGTGTGTGTGTTGTGTGTGTGTTGTGTGTTGTTGTGTGTTGTTGTTGTTGTGTGTGTTGTTGTTGTTGTGTGTTGTTGTGTGTTGTTGTGTGTTGTTGTGTGTTGTTGTGTGTTGTTGTGTGTTGTTGTGTGTTGTTGTGTGTTGTTGTGTGTTGTTGTGTGTTGTTGTTGTGTGTGTGTTGTTGTGTGTGTTGTGTGTTGTTGTGTGTTGTGTGTGTGTTGTGTGTGTTGTTGTGTGTTGTTGTGTGTTGTTGTGTGTTGTTGTGTGTTGTTGTGTGTTGTTGTGTGTTGTTGTGTGTTGTTGTGTGTGTGTGTTGTGGTGTGTTGTTGTGTGTTGTTGTGTGTTGTTGTGTGTTGTTGTGTGTTGTTGTGTGTTGTTGTGTGTTGTGTGTGTTGTTGTGTGTTGTTGTTGCGTTGTTGCGTTGTTGTGTGTTGCGTGTGTTGTGTGTGTTGTTGTGTGTTGTGTGTGTGTTGTTGTTGTGTTGTTGTTGTGTGTGTGTGTGTTGTTGTGTGTGGTTGTGTGTGTGTTGTTGTGTGTTGTTGTGTGTTGTTGTGTGTGTGTGTGTGTGTTGTGTGTGTGTGTGTGTGTGTGTTGTGTGTTTTGTGTGTTGTGTGTTGTGCGTTGTGCGTTGTGCGTTGTGCGTTGTGCATTGTGCGTTGTGCGTTGTGCATTGTGCGTTGTGTGTTGTGTTGTTGTTGTTGTTGTTGTTGTTGTCGTCGTTGTTGTTGTTGTTGCTGTTGCTGTTGGTGTTGTTGTTGTTGGTGTTGGTGTTACCCCTGCAGCGTTTTTGCTCGGTTCCGTAGTGGCCGAAAATCGTCAAATCGGTGGTGTTTTCGCGTGTTTTTGCAACTCTCGGAGCAAAAAACACCGTAAATACCGATGTTTTTGGCGGGTCGGAAGCCCAAAACCACAGTATTTACGATGTTTTTTGCCTCTGGTAGTAAAAAGCACGGTATTTACAGTGTTTTTTGGCCAGCACCTAGCAAAAACACTGGTATTTACGGAGGTTTCACCATGTAGCAAAATGTGGTTTCTTGATCCGAAAAGAACAAAAATACTGTAAATTACAATGTTTTGAGTCTGCTCTTAGGGTGCGTGGGAGGTGTGGAGGGGGGGGGGTACTAAAATGACTAGCAATCTCCTGAAGAATCAGGTAACGGGGCTGGCCGCCCTCCCCTTTACTTCGTAAAGTAAAACTCAAGGTAGCCCCTCTGGAGCTACCTTTCGTGATAACCAGAGGGTATATTTCCAACCAGACCCATCTTTCAGTCTCTTGTGGGCCGCCAAAAGCCCCCCGCCTGCCGAGGTTTTGTTCGCTTCTTGCTGAACTCAGAAGTGCCAAACATCCACGTGAACCCAAAAAAAAACCGTTGACAGGCTGGCACTTGATTGGTTTGACTGTTGGATTGCTGATCTTTAGACACCTATCTGAAAAAAATCTAGAAAATAGTAAACTTCAGCAAATTTCAATGCCAATTTCAGGATCCTAAAATGGAGGTACTGTATCATATAAGGGCATATTTTCTAGGGATATTCCCTTACATAGGCCTTATATAGGCCTTATATATGGTAGGTACCTCCAATTTAGGTACGAGAACCCAGGCATCGAAGATACTTTGCAGAGCCCTATCTGAAAATCTAGAAAATAGTAAACTTGGATATTTCATGATATTTCCAAATTTCCCCTATCTGAAAACTGTAAACTTAGTAAACTTCAGCAAATTTCGCATATTTCAAGTGAAACCACCCAGCTACGCGTCCGGGCCATCAAATCTGCTGTGGTGGGACCACCAGGTTCTTCGAGGCCGAGCCTAGTCACAACGTTGCGGAATTGAGCCCAAGGAACTCCAGAAAAAACATAGGAAAACATAGGAAAAAACATGTTTCTATAATTGTTTTTTAATGTGTTGTTTCCCGTTTCAGTGTAGTTCCTGTTTCTTTCCTTTCAACGGCCCATGTCCAGAGCAAAAAGAGAGTGCAGCCCGACTTGGATGTGCTTTTCTTCGGGGACCAACAAAAATTTTAAACATCTTGCCAGTGGATTGCTTGGATTGTGTGATGGGTATGCTAAAATCATCTTCATCTTCAACCAATCCCAAAATCACAGACTGCACGCCTTCGCCGTTCCTTGTGGATCCGCTCCGCCCACATGATGGTGGCATGGGAACCCCTGCAGCTGCAAGTAGGCATGCTTTGCCAAGCCAATGCCATGAATCTGGGATGGTGATTTTTATTGGGTTGACTGCATTAACTGGGTGACAACCATGTTAATCACGGGTTAACTACTATTGGACTATTATATATATATTGGGTTAGAAACCAAGTGTTTCTATTCACAACACAAGTACACGTGAGTGGCTCGCATACACCTTCCCGTGTTAAAAGGGGTGTTTATACCAACTTCAGGGTCCATTCTACACCCGAAATTTACACGCCGCGCAGACCAACTATAGATTTCCAAAAAGCAGATATATCAGATATACAATCTCAATACCATGAAAAACCCGTATTATTCACAATCACCATTGTAATTACATCTACTTTGCGGCCTATTCATTTAGATGGCGCTTATGACATGGCAGGGGGAAACTATCCATTAATTTAGATGTGTATAGAAGCGAATGGTAAATCATGACCGCACTGGATGAGTTGTCCAGCTACCACCATGCCCCGAAAAAACCTGACAATCTCTGCGCCTGTCCAGAAGGGCATTGGATGTGCGACTCCACATCGCACCGGGCTTTTGTCCTAGATCGATGACCAAAACAAATCATGTGGCCTTACCAAATCAAGTTGTTGAACGTAGCCAGTTAGCCAGTACACAGAATTAACCCAACTTTTATTAGCCATTTTTATCGGCCCAATAAAAAGTGCGACCATGTGACCCAATAGGCCCACGTTGGGGTCGTTGTGATCATGACGAATGTGATCCACGTTCAAAGGATCTTGACCAATTTCAGCATCCTGTGTAGGTGTGAAAAAATCTGTTGACACTTAAATGTGTTGGCTATTCGGATGTATTCGGTTTTGGGTTGATTTACCACATTGCCCAATCATGACGCCTACTATCACATACCCATGCGGCCGTCTTTGGGGTTTGAAATCGGGTACCTCCCGCAATGGTACTGGAAACGGGCAGAGTGAGCCAACAAGCGCCGCAGCATCCAAAAGACAAGGAGGGGAGACAAACCTGAGAAGGCGAACACAGCATCTGACAGCGAGGTGGGCACACGTTGGAGACACACTCTTGACAGGACCCAACACTACCCGACACAACACCACACAACACCACACAACACCACACAACACCCAAACAACCGCTTGACAGCAACGATCATGCGATCACACAACACCAAGACAGGCTCATCACGAAAACAACCCAAAAAACAAAAAATCAGCCCAACACAACCCAAGACCTGACACAAAAACAGACACAACAATAGAAAACAAGAGACATGAAATGGCATGCTGGGAAATGAATCCCTTATCCCTACATATGCCCTGATAGGGTTCCATCCAAAGCAAAAACAAAAGGGGTGGCTCAAGTTCGACCTGATAAATCACTGCGAACAGGAGGGGAGACAAACAGCTTCCCCGGAAAGTTCTGATTGAGAGTTGGTTGATGAAAAAAGATAGGAACCACCTGTGTTTGAACGGAAATATCATGGCTTTCTTGTAGCACTTCCCCTCAAATAGACAACCGGTACTTGCCCAATTTGTCAGTCACCTGGAATATGGTGAAATCTCCTGGATTGTGCCACTCAAAGAATCCGATTACCAAATCAGTCCCATTTTCCATTGTCGCATCCTTTCTGCATTGATTCCTAAGCGCCTTTTTAGGGCGAGGGACTGAATCACCTTGGATCCACCTCTTTTTGACCATCCCCTGGACCACCCGAAATGGCGACCGACATTTTGGACACCAAAAAACACTCCGGGTTTTCGCTGTGGATTTCCCGAAAGATAAAAGTATATTCATTGATATTCATATATTACTATATATCACTATAGATTAAAACATATCATATTGTTTTCTTACTATGTATTACTATAAACATACATTGAAAGATACAAAAAACTCTCCAACACAACGTCCAAGGTTTGAGAGCTAACCCTTCTGTCAACTTACGATTACTTACGCGAAAAACGTGGCGTCCGGTGACAGTTGGATGGTGCCGGTCGAATTCGGCCGAATTGCCACGTTGCCATTGGAACATGGCGCGACTGCTGCCGTCTGTCGCCGGGGTCGTAGCCACGAAGAAAACAGCAGCAAATATGGAGTTCTTGCAGCATTCGAAATGACGAAAGAAGATTTCACAACCCTTTTCTCGACCTTAGGATCTAGCAAGGTATGCGACTTCGCTGTGGAATTCCCATGTATCTGGGTAAAGTATAGTGATTCATCATGGTGATTTATATAATTACTGTAATCTGTTGTTATTTTCGTTTCTTTGAAGGGGAAGCACCACCATAATTCTTGAATCAGAAATCAAACTCATCTTGGGGTGGCTCCCCGATTTTGAGAAAAACCATCATCTCTGGTGACGTTGCCTATGGTGAGTAAGTCAAAGCCCGGAGACAAACGATGGCAGGGGCCGGACGTCACAATTCGGACTTACTCCGACTCGCTGAAGCAGGAAGCCCTGAAATAAGCGTGGAAGTGGATAATTACCCGGTTTTCTTGGACTTTCCATGGAATTCATGTTGAAATTTGGGGGGAGTCCATTTTTCTGGTTGTTTCAAAACAGTTCCGGGTTGGTTTAGCATTGACCACAACAGAAAGTTGAAGCAGGACCGTGTCACAGCGACCTTGGAGCCTTGGAACCATAGCTTCCCAGCGAGTCCGACATATCAGGCATGTCAACGCCTTCTTGTACCATCTGGTTATGACTAACAGTTCGCCATGGAAAGATCCACCATTTTTAAGTTCGGTAAACCATCTATTTCTATGGGCCATCTATACCATGGCACTGTTAGTCATAACCAGAGGGTAAGGACCATGAAATTCAATGCCGGGTACATCCAGGTGCCGACTTCGGAACGATCGCAATCGTAATCATCAAGACCTAGCAGATCTTCCGCTTCAAAACGAATGGACTTGATATTTGTGCCCGTTCACTGTCCCATGCTGTCCTACTGGATGTCGAACCACTAGTTGAGTACATATAAGTGTGCATATATATATATATATAAACATGTATATATATATATATATAAACAAGTAAACAATTATAGTAAAGACATAAGTGACAATCACATCTCAAAGCTAGTTGCCCCCACCAAAAAAAAAGAATGGATAGTTGCTGACCCTCATCTTGCAGATAGCTGGCGATCCTGTGAGCACCCTGAGCACCCGGCCATGCCTACAAATCCCCCGGGACAGCAGCGGGCAGAGTGGGCAGAGTGGGCCGGGCCGCAACGGCCCGGGTGTTCAACGTGTGATGACTTGTTGGGTCACAAAAAACAAAATTGGTCCAAATACATCTGTGGTATGACACGGCAATCACATCCCTGAATAATCTGAATAACACTACGAAGTTAAAACATGATCAACACATGTGTACTTGATGGAACAAAAGAGGTCTGAGTTTCTTTCATCTCATTGGATTTCACCCAAAAACAGCGATGCCTAAAGATTGTTTCCACCATGGGACAGGTTGATTGGACACCTGCCACATCTGCCGTCCAAGTATTCAGGGACTGAAGGCAACCTAGTAAGGGCATTGGCAGCAGCATAGCACTGCATTCCGACTAATAGCGCTTCTAGACTGGGAGGTGCAAAATTCGCTGCAATGTTTGTCTGCACCTGTCAAGCGCTAGGAAAATCAAGCAGACTTTGTTTCTTTGTTGAAAGACTGCAGGGTATCATTGGATGTGACCAAAAAAAAATCCACCATGTATGGCTTTTCTTGGCTGCAATACTGACCCCAAAAAACCGCAGTTTGAGAACCGAATCGGAGATGGTGAAGACGTGTCTAACAGAATTCAGCAGATCTTATTTCCGAATATGTGTCCTTTCCTTGTTAGATAGAGTCGTCCTCATTCTTGTTGATTGAACCACCATTTGTGTGGGGAAACACAAAGGAACCTTTGGGTTGGGTCACCACTCGACCGTTGGTATGATCCTCACCAGCAATTAACGACCGTTGGCCTACCCAAATTTCTCCTTGCCTATCGTTTGGCTTGCGCCTGGTGAAATCTGACCGTTTTTCGACTGAAATCCCATCGATGATCATCTTTTTGGGGAAAGCGAGGAATGAAAATGGGATTTTTGATGAATTCCCCCATGTTTCAGATGAAAACGTCTTGATTCATCGCCAGGAAAGTTGCAAAATAGGGCTGCCCTATTTAATCATCCAGTTTTGATGTTCGGATTTTCCATAAACTAAACCATCCAGCTATTGGGGTACCCCCAATTTAGGAAACCCCCATTTTTTATAAATCTCTATGATTATAGAACAATAATCATCAGTAATCTCCCCCTCATCCCCCGTTCATATTCATGTACATCCCCAATGTTTTTGTTCATCATTCATATGTTCGAAGGAATTTCTGATATGGCAGTGAGTCAAAACCCTGGTACCCCTGGTGAACCTCAAAATAGCTGGTAAATGGATGTTCATCCCCCTAAAAATGGTATGTATAGGTATTGATCCATAGCCATATTCATCTTCCCGAGCTTTGCACATCGGCACAGTGCCGGCACATCGGCATCGGCTCACATCAGCTGGCACATCTCACGAGTGGAACAGGAGCTCACATCAAACCTGGCCCCAAAAAGGACCTGGTGATCCTGGTTGGAGCAAAATGTCATGGGATGATGCTTTTAATCGGACATGTCTAATAGAAAGAAAAGGGCATGTTGAACATTGTTTATCCCATGAATACACGATGATTGTTCATGGAAACTGTTTGTGGAAATTGATGATACACCATACAGCAAAACATCTCTTTGTTCATATCATTAATACACCATGATTGTACTGCAAATGATGTCCTATATTCACCATCAAAAGTCGGGCGTCGGTGCGCTGGTGCTGGTGAGAATCCTACGGCCTGTCATCACCATCGACGGAGACACAACAGCTGGAGATATGGATGGTCTGGATGGTATGTCAAGCCTGTATGTCAAGCCACAAGTTTCAAGTTGAGCACATCCCTATTTTAAAAAATGCGACCTGAATAGACCTGGATAAATAAATCAGATACCGCTTTTTAAGGGATTCCACCTGGCAACTTGCGGAATTCAGCCATCAGGGTCCATGGGGGGCGCCTTCAATGAATCCCGAGCTGGAATCCATTCATGTCCAGCGATTAGACAATGCTCAAGTTTTCCAGTCAGCTTAAAGGACCGGAGGGTATATCAGTATATCCCCATTCTTGATGATGCTTGTTGTTTGTTTTCCCCCATCATATTTCTGCTTCATCTTTGATGTTTGTTGAAACCCCCAACAAACCCCGTTTCGTTTCGGTGGCTCAAGTCTTCATCCGCCAAGGTCAAATGAGAACCCCCCGCCTCTCACTGCACATACGACGATCCGGCAAGTCATAGTAGTAGTCCTCCGTCATCTCAAGCCTCAAAGCTTGGAGGGTGTCGATAGAAGGGCTGGAACTGAGCTCCCCAGGGGCGCGCTGCTCTCTTTTTTTTGCAAAGCCATGTTGGAAAATGTGGGAATTGTAAACCAAAATACAGTTTTGAAAGAATTCGACATCTTTCTTTGTTGATGATAAATAAAAGAAAACAAAGATCTGTATCATAGATCTGATTTCGAAACAACAATTTTAGACGCAACCACCAAATTGTGATATGACCTGCCAGATGATGTTTCCAAAAACCTGGGGTACCCAAAAAATCACCAGAGTTCGATAAGGCCTCAAATTTTTGGTGACGTAGTGATAGGGACTTCCAGGCGGAAACTTCACCGTTGATAGTTCAGGTACCTAAATTGGAGGTACCCAACATATATGCTTGGCTTACCGAAGGCCAAAATTTCGATACAAAAAGGATGGGTCAAAAACGCGGCTCTTTAAATAGCACAGTCTTTTCGGCTCCGTTTTCCGTGGCATGGCCTATTGACAATAATTGACAATCATGTCTGCTGACAGAATCCAAAAATATTTGTTGTTTAAATATCTTGGTGAATCGTAGTTTTTCATGTTGGTTGATTCCCATGGGGTAAACTTACAAAAAGATGTGAAAAGCCCCATGGTTTCCCAGAAAATGATCTACAACCAGGTGGATTTTCCAGATCCTGCCACCCTGGGCGTTCCCACGTGCAGCGCGGTGTCTTGAAGGGCGCATAGAGGCAGATCCATTGATCGTTGCGACTTGGCCTTGACGAGGAATTCCACATGTTTTTTTACCAAAAGGAAAAAAACAAATCAGATGGGGATGAAGTAAATGGATATGAATGAGTCATTTGCTTCTAGAGATGTTTTGATCATCTATATAAATCAGCCTGAACTTTGGTTTTGAACCGATGCAACCATGGGGGTAATGGATTGATTTCAACAGAAAACAAAGGAACACGTCCCCTTAAACATCGAGAAAAAAAAGTCTGGCAACCGATTGAATCGGTTACCTGACCTTCATGACCTTCATGATTTTTTTTGGTGTCACTTGTCAGTGTCGCTGGTTTTATAGTTATATAAACCACTTGGGGATGGTTCAAAACCATCCATCTATGGGTAATATATGGGGGAGGGGCTATAATTGGCTTTACCACAAGCCCATATTCAACACAACATGGCGGAGTAGTCAAGGGCTAATTGAGGAAGTTATGCCGTCTCAATGTAGAACCAAAAACATATTCACTCCGAATTTACATGGGGCACAAAACGATATCAGTTGATGTTCAACTATGTTTCACCATATCAACTATTTATCCTGGGAATATTCATCAATTATATCAGTATCAGTTGTCCGTTGAGTATATAATGTATATAGAGGTTTCCTGAAATAGGCCTACCCTTAAATCATCCATTTTCGATTGGGATTTTCCATGAAATCAACCATCCAGCTATTGGGGTACCCCCGTATTTTTTCTCCCCAGAAACCATTCGGACGATGCTTCCGACGTCACCTCGTCGCATAGAGGTGCACAAACTCATCCTGCGGGATTCAAAATCATGGTATCATCACCATGAGAAAATCGTGGAAATCAGTGGGAAAAAAAAAACTGAAAACTGGGTATACCGAAATTATACGCATAAGTTGGTGATAAAACTGGGCCATACGTTTCTTTAATCACCAACTTATGGGTATAATGTCGGTATAATCATGGAAAAAAACACCATAAGTTGGGGCATAACCATGTAATTGTGTTGCAACGATGTTTGTTATGTACCCCCAATTTATCGGAACTGAAAGTCGTGTGACTTTGCAGTTGGGTTTTTTCATAGATTGAACAAAGCATGAGTTGGTTCCTGAGTTGTTTCCATCGCTACGTGCCAGATACTCATCTTTAATGATTGTAACTCATTTTCAGTTTTCTGCAGGACCTTTCCAGTCCAAAGGTATGATTCTTTTTGATCATCGCAGGTACGCCATTGAATTCATTCATATGTTTCAATCACCAGGGGAACCTCAAAAACAGTGCAATCTGAGCCAAATCATCCCCTAACGAGGCCCACGAGGCCATGTGATGGCATAGGATGGCCCACCTCCCCCGGACTCCTGGCCCACCTGAACCTTCAAAATGGCCTCATAAAGAGAGGGATGCTGTCAGCATCTCATCCGAAAATCAGTGACTTTCGATGAGAAAAAATGACCAAAACCCTGGCAGCCATGAAGCTAGTCTTGGAGCTACATTTTTAAAGAATCAACAAATGATCAAACAGATGTTGACCATCCAAAGTAGGGGTCACGTTACGGTCACCGTTGGCATCTGAGCTAACCGCCTTGCGTGTGAGATCCCCTTGGAAATCCGTGACCCTCCAGTCTTCCACCTCCTCCTGGACGGCCAAAATTTGTGAGGATCACCTTCCTGGACTTGCCATTGAAAATGACATTTTCATCTTCAAACATCATACCAACTTGGTGATTAATGGTGATTAATGGTGATTAATGGTGATTAATGGTGGTTAATGGTGGTTAATGGTGATATTCCATCAATCACCATTAATCACCATACTGTATATTCCACCAAATATGATGTTAATTATGTACCCATCTAACCAATACACCCACGACTGTTGGCATCATTTTTTCTGCCCCGTGTCGCCTCCAACTCCTGCTCGACACGCGCCCGGAACAGGTCCGCCACCATTTGCGCCTGCAACAACTTGAAATCGGGATTTTACCAACAAGAACGGAGGTTTAAGCAAGACAAATAGGGATTTAAGTGGAAACACCGCTGGCAGAAACCCACATGAACACAAGGACTGGCAAAAAAAAACTATCAAGGACTTCACACTGCTCTGCCATATTCAGCTGGATCACACCATCCTTGAACACAGACACAAGTGACACAAGCATGTGAAGTAAATCACCGAAGGTGCAAGGCTGTGCAAGGATTTGGATTTGGTACAGTTGCTGCAACCTGTGGCATTCTCAGACTTTTGCCTCGCACTCTCAGAGTCTCAGTCAGGAACCGCTCAAGATTGGTTGACCAAGTTGACCCGCTGACTCTGAGAGCCTCCATTTTCAGATAGTATCCAAGGTTTCCCTCCGTCATCAAGGAAGTTCCCTTTTTTATGCACAAAAATCAATAAGCACATCAAAGAACCTTTGAACAATGCGCAACTTTCACAGGTTCTTTCAATCTTGAGCCATCGCCAGGGAAAATCGGCTCTGTCCCCGTTAGCTTTGAGCTGTGGGTGCAACAAGCCGTTCAGGTCCTGCGTTCTGACAGAAGGGTCCAATGGTCCAAGTTCAAATGGGCACAATATGTCCCACCCTCTAAACCTCGGCTGCTTCCTTTGAAGACGTGCCGGAGTACAGAAGTGGATTGTTCATCCGGATCGTTTTTGGCGTTTTTGGATGGAAATTGAAAGCTCTTTCTGATCACAGCCATCGCTTCGACTTGCAACGTCTCACCAGTGCTCCGTCAAGCTCAGTATGTGTTAGTCAATTCAATGAAGAATCTTCGATGTTATCCCATGATAGACAAACCGCTCGTTCAGGCGGGAGTTCCGAAGTAAAGACCATGATTACTGCTTCTTGTTTCTGAATCTCTGCCCCGACAAATCATGCAGGGACTGTTGATCCAGGGTTGCCTACAGCCAAATGTGGCTAAATGGACATGGTTCCCCTACTGATTTGCTCCCATGAAATAACCGCGAATATTCCTGTGTCAGCCGCTAAATGACAATCAATACCTATGTCAGTTGCTTATCCGAGTATCTTGACCTACCTGTTCATGTGGTATCTTACCTCTCAAGTTTTGTTGGCTCAAGGCCAGTCAATTCTCTCACGTGCGCCGCACAGGCACAGTAGCCCGCAGGGTGGCCCGCAGGACCCCATATTTCGCACATAATAAGGATATTTGGCAACACATCAAGATCTTTCCAGGCAAAATCACTTCGGGTTGGGCTTGATTTTAAGATATTTAAGTAGCAACCCTATAACTAACCCTTTCGATAGGTGCCATTGGCCAACGGTCAGGTCCTGCAACTTTGGGGCAGGACATCACTCACTTCGGGACGAACGGCCTTCCATAGCTCCTTGATGCGGCTGTTTTGGCGTTTCATCAACGGAGGAATTGACAGTTACCTAAGATGTCAACTTCCCCAGTTGCATCCTTGACTTCACATCATTGACAGTTACTGGATATATCTGGATATAAAACGGCTTTTCGTAGGGTTGATAGTATGTTACATATGTTGTATCATCCAAGCCATGGGCAAGCCACGGCTTGACCAAAACCAGATCCCAGCTGCCATCTCTCAAGAGTTTTGCCAGGCAAACCAACATTTAACTTCAACAATAGCTGTTGGAGGATGATTTTCTGAGTTTCTCGTTGGGATCCCATCGAAATGACGCAGGTTGGAACTCGAACTCACTGCTCCTCGCTGCGATTTTCTGGGAGCACCTTGGACGCATGGAAGACGCGGCCGTGACTACAGGAGAAGTGGAATTCCATGCATCATATCGACGTATATCGCACAGAAGTGGGGCAAAAATGGACCTGCAAATGGTTCCTGTTCCTGCACATCTTTGGGGCATTTGAGATCCCGGTGCCAGAGTACACCAAGGATATCAGACAAGGGCACCATTTGGGCACAACTCGGCCATCCATGATCACCGAGGCACTGATGCTCCGAGTCCAATGTCCTGCAAATGGTTTCCCAACAAAAATGGTAAGCTGCAAGAGCCCAATTAAAAAAAAAACGGTAAGTTGCAGCCACATAAATAGTCCCTTTTCATGGGTCCACAAACTGAATCAAACTCAATTCTACAATGTGAGGCCCCCCAGTTATAAGTTGGTTTAGATTCGCCCCAGTAACTATAGTTATAAGTACCAGAAACCATAGTGAAATTGGAGTTATAAACCAACTTAGCTATCTTGGGGGCCTCACATTGTAGGGGACCTTTTTACAAACGTTCACTAATCCCTTCCAAATTCTCCTGGTTCATGCGAGGCAGCTGGGATTGCAGCCTCGGAACACGTTGTCCCATTGGACAACACCAAAGCGCCAAAATGTTGCTGTGACCAACAACAAGCGGGCCGAACAAGAAAAAACAATGGCATGGCAAATATATATATATATATATTTATAGATACAGATATAGATATAGATATACATATACATATATTTCTATATATATATTATTATTATTATCATTATTATCATTATTATTATTATTATATATTTATGCTGAAGCTACTCCCACTCCCACTTACCAGTCATGGATAGTTGCAACCCCATCATCCCATCTTACTGCCAGGTCTCACCTGCGAAGATCGAGGGCGGTGCAGTGGTCCTGGACGCGAAAATCATCGAACGATTGCTGGGCGATTTTCCAGCAAACCATTAATGCAAGATTACCTCAGTTTGAAGACAACCAGATGAGTATTTCGCAAGTCAATGCAAACAAAAGGTTTAATGGTTGATATTCACACTAACCAGGTTAGTAGTAAAACTGGTAGCGACTAAACCTTTTTTTCAAACAAAATTAGTATTGAACATCATCAGTCATAGCCAGATTGGTTCGCACGAACCATTAGTCCAAAACATAGAGCTTGGTCAAACCGGATTTAAGTAGGCTTAAATTCAACCTTTTATGTTACCATCTGGTTATTTAACATAGCCATGGAAAATCACCATTTTTAATAGGTAAACCATCTATAAATGGGTCATTTTCCATGGCTATGTTAAATAACCAGAGGTTAAAACTGGGAGATGATCTATCAGAATCTATCAGTAACTGAGTTACATATGTTAACATATTTTAACATCATATTTTCTATCAGTATTTTTTCCTATCGGGAAAAAAGATGTAACAAAAATTTCAGGAGAAGATGACCGGGGACGATCGTTCCCAAGCTCCCAGAAGCAGTTGGAAAAAATGCATTCTTTGTTGGCGGCGAAATTCACAGATTTTTATAAATCCTCGTGACTTTTCTCGTGACTTTTCATCTCCTGTTGAAATCCATGTTAAGCGCGAATCAAATCTTGATTGAGGTGGAAAAATCACCATGAAATGAACATATTTGTTGACGGAAAATCCCCGTTTTTGTTGGTTCCTGTCCTCAGAATAACCCATGAGGCACGACATAAACCCCTCATCACTGAGCTGCTGTTCCTTGATGACAGGAGCGTGTGCAGCTCAATGTACGGCGTCGCCAGACCTAAGGGTAAGGGTTCAAATCCACTTGTGGATTTGCTTTTTGATGCTTTTGTTTAAAGTCTGGAGATCAGAAGAAGCATGTCCAAACCGCTGCAAACAACACCCACTCATCTAATGCAAGCAGTAGATGGCGGTTGATCTAAAATTGTCTGCAAACGGCCATTCTTCGCGAATAACAAAATTACTTTCGCGAATCTTTCTCGAAACTGTCATTTATCTTTCGCGGGGTCTCATGTTAAAAATCCACAAGAAATGACGTTGGCGAAGTCAGGAAAAACTGTCGCGGGGCGGCCTTTGTTGCAACCCTGGCGGCCTTTGTAATGGACAATCTCTACATGGACCGATACGGATCGACAGATGATGCAGAAGCTGCTGACTACCGAAGGTCGACCTGTTTACAGAAGCTAAGGAAGAAACGAGTGGAACGAGCTTCACAAAATAGAATTCACTTAAAACAACCAGCTAATCTGCAAGAAAATGAAGAAGAATTGATATTGACATGATGATTCTATCATTTCCAGTATAAATGTTTAAAAAAATAGTTTGCTATTCCATTGAACGAAATTGAAAATACCAAGCCCTGCTTCCTCCGGCACGTGCTTGGTCCCCAACCAGGCCCTCAGTGCCCGCAGTTCCCAAGGGATCAGTTGGCGAGCCCTGTGTCGGCAATGAGGCGACCTGAGGCGACCGAAGCGGCAAAGTTGGCTGAACTCCATTAACTATAGTTATTTGCGTATCATAAACCATAGTGAAATTGGAGTTATGTTCACCAACTGAACGCTATCGAACGGGGGCCCCACATTCTAGATTTTTTCTGGTGTTTGGTGAAATCCTCTTAGTTGCTGGTCAACTCATGTGAAAATCAGTCGAATCATCCATTTCTGAGATGCCCACGTCGCTAGGAGATGGCATGAGCTCATTACCTTAAAATAATTTCTGGCAAAGCGGCAGTCTCGCAGAAACCCATTTATGGAATGTATTGGATCTGGGACTCATTGAGAGGGGACCCAAATAGAGGAGATACCTCCTGGGGGATGGGAGTGTAGCAGATACCTGGAAACAACAGCAGGGAAAAGGACGACTAGACGCGAGTCGTTCAGCAGTGAAAACTAAGCCAACTAAGAACTTCCGAAACCGCTTTGCTTCTATAGATTTGGTCACTGGTTTATGGTTCATGCGTGGTCGTATGGGTGGAGGCCAGATGAAATTCCCCAGAGCGTACAGTGGTTTCCCAGTTTTTTTAGAACCATTTCTGCCTCCTTTTTATCGTCATTTTCCAGTTCCACTACCACTTTCTGACACCTCTGGGGCCACAGACAAAGAACTTGAGTGAACCTGAGGAACAAAGGATCCAGCCAGTTCTGGTGCGAAGATGTGCAAACCCGAAGATCTCATGGGTAGAAAAATGTTGTCTACTGTAAATGTTCCTTAACAACCAACCCAATCCCACTCTCATCGGTGGCTTAGTCACTGGTGTCACTGGTCCTCCCTCCAAGGGGACGGTAAATGTTAGGTTCAGTTCTTCATTATGCCTTGACACTGGTTTTGACTTCTGTGTGATGAACATTGTGGCAGATGTGGTAAATCCAAACCACCAAAACAATGATTCTCGCATGGCTACACTATGCCCAAAAAAAAGTGCGAAGTAATCCAGACTCCACATGTCCATTGAGAAAACCGGTCGCACCTGAAGGTTGAATAGCCCAGCTCTAAAGCCATAGAACCCAGCGACGCCACGTCCTGATCATCGATAGCCAGGATCCAATAGATATGGGAAGTGAGGATAGAATGGGAGATAAATGGTATCATTATGTAGTTTAGTTACCTATTTTCAATGATACTTCCAAAAATAAAGAAAATTGGCTATTAGGTTGGCAATGCTTATCAATGGATTGGTTTTCCAGTAAAATCTAAAGGAAATCTCCGAAACCATTGTTTTATCATCAAATAAAGGGGTACACTTGGAACATGTTGCCTTCAACAAAATCTCGGACAATCTCAAGCATTCATCTGAAAAGAAGTGGTATTCGATCCAGTATGCCTTCAAGGGGTTCACTTTTCTTTTTCTTGCTTCATATTTGGAATGGTCGTTACTTACTTTCATCATGATAATGTCTTCGCGGAATTGACTTCTATCATTTTCTATCCCTAAATGTCCCAATACAATCTCAATAAAAAAACGCCCATCAGCACAGTAGTTGCTGAAAGTTATGGAACATGAAAATGATGATGACAACAACCATGAGTTTGATGTTGATGATTCACATTTTTCGTTGATCTCTTTGATGACTACAATCACTGGCTATCAATGGCTTCAATCTCCAGGTCGACCGGCAAGCTGTGTGGACGACCGGCTATGTAAACTTTTATGGATAACCCACGAATGTTTGTGCAGTTTCAAGCTCTTGAATGCTCATGGGAAGGATCAAAAATGACCAGACCAACAAGGTTGGCCGTGTTTTGGTTTCATGGGTATAATGACTATATCATGGGGTATTAATGGTATTACGGTATCATCATATCCATATAATGGGGCATTAATGGGATAAAAAGTCATGGGATATTTTATTCACGATTCCATCCATGACTTTTTTGTTGATCCAAATGGGATTCAATGAACCTACCGTGGCAGCGTGGCAGCGTGGCATTCCTCCATTGCTCTGAAAGCAGCTACTTCCACAGCACACTCTTCCTCGGGCGAAGTAAGCTCCTGAAAATTCTGTGGACAAACTGGGCATGTTTGAGCCTACGGATTGAAAACCGAACCAGCGTTTTGTAGTTTTTTTTTGAAGTCTTCATATGATATAGTGGGGTGGGGTGGGGTAATAACGTACATGCTACGCTGCTGCAAGTTCTCTTGCACTTTCATATATACGTCATGCTATGCTGCGGCAAGTTCTCTTGCACTTCCATACATACCTACATGCTACGCTGCGGCAAGTTCTCTTGTACTTTCATATATATGTCATGCTACGCTGCTGCAAGTTCTCTTGCACTTCCCTACATACGTCATGCTACGCTGCTGCAAGTTCTCTTGCACTTCAATACATACCGACATGCTACGCAAACAAAAGGAATCAAGCACTTGTGAAGAACAAAGAGTGAAGAACAAAGAGTGAAGAAAAAACGAAGGAAAAAAGTGACGGCCGCTGTGGTTTTGACAGAAATTAGGTAAAAATGGGCGCCCAAAATTTCTAGAAAAAACTCTGACACCTTCACATGAAACAGTCAAAAAATGATGGATTTTGTGGGACGAAAGAAAAGGTCAGAAACACACCCTATTGAAATGTGGCTTCGATAAACAACCCGCCGGGATGTTTGACTCCAAAAAAATTGGAATTTACCCAATTTGCCCGCCATTTTTAAGGCTGGTTTGACCACCAGACCTCCGACAAACACATTGGAGGACTAAGAAATCAACATGTGGATTTAACCAGCAAAAAGAATGGAAATTGACCATCTAAAATCGGAACTTACTCCACCAAAATGTGCGTATTACCAACGAAGCTGGGGGGTATGGGTCAAGTCCTTGGGTAAAGACAGTCTGGTTACTCGAACTTGAAGAAAATCGTTGGAATCCAGTCCAATACAAACAGAATATCTTACATATCTGGTTGGTGGTGCAATAACCATCTTGAAAAATGAAGTTCGTCAATGGCAAAAAATGACATCCCATAGATGGAAAGTAAAAAAAAAACATGTTTGAAACCACCAACCAGTGATTATTACCCATTATTAACCATCATTAACCATCATTACCCCATACTAAACCAATGTTCCAAACATTTCCAAACCACCAACCAGTGATTTATGATGTACATTGTGGAGTACACTGAGTACACACACACACACTTTTTATGGTTTCCAGTGACATTCCAATCATCATCCAGTGACTTCACCTGCCGCGGCGTCGCAATCGCTGCCAGCACGATCTGCCGGTCCAGCCTCGGCAGACGTTTGTCTGCGATCCCGGGATGGGAAAAAAATGCAAATGGGCCATCCTATCACTGGCAATGAAAAATGGTTCATGTGAAAAAAAATAACTCAATATGAAAGGATATTCAGAAGAGAAACTACGTAAAAAAAAAAAAAGTGTTTGCTGGGGAAGGGTGTGTTTGGAGCAAGGGAACCAGCCGCAACAAAAGGTCTCCAAGCAAAAAAACATCAAATTTGCCCTAAAAGCGAAATCAAGAGAATCTTAGCTGGATGAATGCTACAAAGAAACTGCAGTACCCAACCCACAAACCCAAGCATCATGTGGTTAATTTCATATGCCATTCGATCCTCATGATATTCCAATATACTAATATATATATGTCATTGTTCCCTACATCAATGCAATATCATGGGGATTGATAATAATTAACATTAATTAACCATGATAATAGGGAACATCATGTAACTAACCATGATATGCCATCAATCCATCATTTTTTGGCGGATCATCATTGATGATCCCGAAGGTGATCTTTCATATCCACGAAAATCATGGAAAATCATGGAAATGATGGGGAAGTCATGGAAATGATGGGAAAATGATGGGAAAATGATGGAAAATGATGGAAAATGTACCGTCAGGTACTGACTGTTACATTGCTATTGAAAATTGCTAATTTCAAATGGGGATTCTTCAGTTCGCAAACTGTTAGTTTACCAGAGGTAATCCCATATCCATTGGTTACGTTCCCTTGAATTCTTGAACCCGTAGATAGCGCCAAGAGACCGCAAATGTGGCTCCAAGTATCTTAAGGCCTGGAAAGTGATGGGTTCAGGTGTTTCATCCCACCAACCCCATTAGCGCATGTGAGCTATTGTCCCATCATCCCATCTCCAATTGTTTATGCCTGGGACATTTCAGGAGAAAGCTGGACATGTTCAATTTTGAGCACTCAAGATACTCTGTGGGACTTCCATCCGGCATTGATGGCGGACACACTGTGAACCAAAGAAAAAGAGCAGAAGTCAACCGGTCGCTGTGATCAGCACCTGCAGCAGCAAAAGAAGCTCCGTTTAAGCCACTTGCCACTAACCCATCAAACAAGAAACAATACTTTATATCTTCTAGCTTCCAATATAAGCGTAAACAAAATACACAACTGTCTACTGTATATCAATATGCAAAATATACAAAACATGGTAAAACCTGTTCCAAATATTTCTTCTAACATCCAATAGTAGAACTGTGCACATACATATATCACTGGGAATTCAGGATCCTAAAATGGAGGTGCTGTGCCATATAAGACCTTATTTTGTGGGGATATTCCCTTACATAGGGCTTATATAAGCCTTATATGGTAGGTACCTCCAGTTTAGGTTCCTGCAATGGCCATTAAATATGTACATATACATATATTATGTACATACACCTATATCTATTTATATTATACACTGCACACCTATATCTATATACATATATACATCTACTGTGGATGGTTGCGAAATCCTGCACCAGTTGGTAGATGGTAAACATCCCATTATAATCCCATTATAGTGTTTTATAGTTACCACTTACCAACTAGTGCAGGATTTCTTCCATCCATAAATATCATATAGATAAATATAAACAGCTTAAATATCCCATTATAATCACATTATAATCCCATTATAATCCCATTATAATCCCATTATTATATTACAAAATATATTGTATCTTCTCCCATTTATATCTTATAGATGGGATTAATGTAAATATCATGTACCCTCTGGTAAACTAACATAACTACAGAAGATCACCGTTTTTAATGGGTAAATTCACTATTTCTATGGCCATTTTCCATAGCTATGTTAGTTTACCAGAGGGTATCATATATGCAATATATCATAAATAAACAGATGTATCCGCCTCTGGTGACTGTCGCACCGCCGCCAGCGCCGCGGCGCGGTCGCCCTTCACCTTGTTTGGAGCGTCCTTGAGACGCGTCCAATCCTCGGAACTTCCCGATTGGAGGGATGTGGAGGTTATGACTAATAGTTCGCCATGGAAAAAATCACCATTTTTAAGTTCGGTAAACCATCTATTTCTATGGGTCATCTATACCATGGCTATGTTAGTCATAACCAGAGGGTATATGAATATATGATTATATGATGATATATGTATATGTTGCTTATGCCATAGTTTTAAGACTATGTACATGTACATATGTTTGAATGTGTGTGAACGTATATGAAAGATATTGTGGAAATATGGATTCAATCAATACTTGTATGATATGCATATATGTCCCTGCTCCCACAAATCCATCAAATCTGCAGTGCATTGCAATCCACACAACTGTGATGCATCACATCCCACAAGTCATCGATTCCAAATCCAGCACCTGAGAGATACCTCGGGGGATCTACAGGATTTGTTTCAGAGAAATTCTCACCATCCAATCAGGGTGACTTCCCCAAAAAAATCTTCGCTGAAAAACAACCAGTTTTTCCAGAAAATCACTGGCACCTCCGCTTTTTCCCATGAAATCCCACAGTCGTTGGTGAAATCCATTTGACTTTGTCTGAGAAAGGGCTACCCGGAAAAAAAAAAAACTTGATCATCACATGTCTTGTTTTTTTTCTAATTTATGGCAATTCCCAATTTTCCAACACACCTCAAAAAATATCCATATTATCATCCATTATCATCCATTATCCAATTATCCATTATCCATTATAGCAAGTATCCCACAAAATATCCCACAAAATCCAATCCGCAACTTTTGATCCATCCATGTCCCGGAGGGTCAGCCTCCACCCGGCTGATAGTCGAATGCCATGGCACCCGGGACACCACGGTCCTCCATTCCACCAAATCCATGATGCCCTGGTGCTGCTGCGCCAAAAAAAATGTGGATTTGGGTGAAATTTCGGAGATTACCCAGTGGTAAACGTTTACATAACTATGGAAAATCACCATTTTTAAAGGGAAAACTCACATTTTCAATAGCTATGTTAAATTACCAGAGGGTAAACTATTTGCTGAATGACTTGTGGATGGTTTGTTGTTGTGATTCAGTTTGACCTCAACCTTCCTTGTGGTTGATATGTGGTGTTGTACAGTGGATAGCTCTATTCAACCATCAAATTCTTGGAGGAGGTTTAGGAACCAATGTCCATCCAGCTGGTCGTAGCAAGGCGACAGCTGTCCGTTTTCCAGATCACCTGGCTAACAGATTTTCCGCAGATTACTCAGAAAATGGAGATGAATCGTGACAAATCCATCAACAACATCAACAAGTCATTGCCAAACATTGATCTGCAAATCTTCAGCAGATGTGTGGTCCGGGGAAATCGAGAGAATCTACAGGAAGACCTTCTTGAAGTGATGCTAAAATTGCTAAAACCTATGGTTTTCAATTGGTTTTCTTAAAAAGAAGTAGAAAAGCCAATCCCTTGAAGTGGTTCACCTCCTTTGTCTACCCTCCATTCGCCCCGCCCCGCCAGCACAGCACGGCGCAACTGCTGCCGTGAACCACGGCTCAGCCACAATGAGCTGCGGATTGGATTTTCCACAATGCGAGGGCTAACCATTCAAAATTTGGGATAAAAAACCCACAAGATACGCTGACTTTTTTTACGGTATGGAAATTTATACAAGCTATGCTGTCATCAGTAAATCGTTGTCAACTGAGATGGGAGGGTTAACCTCGTTTTGCCAGGTGTCAGCATCCCAAGCCAAGACCCCGTGACCAATGCCACTTTAAGACTTTACAAGACTTTAAGATGGTACTGCACCAGAGGCAAACACATCCCTTTGCGGCCCTTTCCTTCGGTTGAATTGTGGGAAGGTCTGCAAAAATCCAGCCTTCCTATCAGAAACCCCTCTTCTTGGATGTGCGTGGAAAGGGATGATAATGTAGACAGAACCAAGAATTCAAGCTTGTACCAAGAATCATCCAATAATTACAAATGGATGCGTTCCCTCAAAACACAAGAATCATCAGCATATGCCCAATCATTCAATATATACAAATCAATCCTATCATATGTCCATTTAATACAGTTTCATCAAAATGGGGATGGTTTCTACATCACTTCCAATCTTTTCCACTTTTGGGGTTCTGATTGCCCAAAACTGCACCTCATTCTTTCTGAAGAAGTTCTTGGCAGCAGTTTGTTGCCTGGACCTCAAGCGGCGTGAAACTGATTTTTCATTAAAAAAAACCCTGTTTATCGCGAGGGGATTTATGGATGTTTATCTCCGCATTTCATATGGGAAATCATAGGTTTTGATCCATCTCCACATGTTCAAGAACCGACAAAACAGCTGTTTTTGCGATGAGAAAATCTCAGATTAGACAGGGATATGGAAACGGGGCTGTGGGTTTTTCAAAGGGGGCATAAACCAACAATGATGTGGCTGCAACCAACAAGAATGATCATCAACAATGGGAACATACGTCAAAATGTGAAATGTACTGGAACTGTGATTTTGATCTCAATGGAAAAAATTAGGGATAAATCCTCTGGGTATGGGTCAGTTAACCAAACAGAATCCCCTGGTTTTCACAGCAAAAGTGTGGCGATGTCACCCCCAGAAGATGGAGATATGGCCTTGGAGCCCATGAAACAGGTGGTGCCAAAAATGGGCCCCCAATACTTTGAAGGGCCCAAAAAACACAAAGGTCACATGGCTAGGGCCTGACTTGACATCATGGCGTGGCTTCAGATTCAGCAACCCTTGGAATCCAAGGCTGACTGGAAAATGCTAGGGCCACGGACTGTTTCCCCGCTTCACTTTTGATCTGATTCAGTTGGGCAGGCGACCTGATGTACCTTGGAGGGTGAAACGAAGTCGATAGCACCGCTACCCTTTTTCATCGCTGACGATTTGTTCGTTATCACCAGTTCCAATAACCTCAGATCTACATGTTCCACAGTTCCACCCACCTTTTTCCTCTGAAAATTTCATCTGTGGGAAACCACATCTTGGGACACATCGTCCCGGTGAAATCACCAGAAATTTTACGCCGTGTAAAAACCACCAGCAGATCTCAGCTTCCCACTCGGTGACGGAGCGCATTGGCTTCTTCTCGGGGGTCTGAGAAGACTTCATCGCCTTGATGGACATCGGTGAAAACAAAGGTCACAGACATGATCCATATATATATATACATCCATGACTCGTTTTATGGAAATTTTTGGGTTATGGTAATATCATTACCATATGGAAATCCCATGGAAATCCCATGGAAATCCCATGTTTTTTTTTCGGGATTTTCCCATGGCGATGAATGGATGGTTTAACCATTGGGACCTGCGGATGTTTGCTAATTTCAGCGATCAAGAAACTCTGAATCGATGCAGTTGTAGGAGTTTGAGCTCTTTGAATATCTGGTTTTGAATGGTGTTGATGTACATGCGGATACCAAAAAAAAACAATAATTGCGTTTTTTTATGCGATGTAACCAACAAAAAATTGGTGATGAGAATATCATCGTTCAAGATATGGCGGTTTTCTGCGATATTCATGGTACATGAGATTCATACCTCAAGCTTTTTGGCTTTTTGTGACACCCTGATCGTCACTAATTGCGGCAACGTCGGCCATCAACCGAGAGCATGACAACAACCATCCGCCTCGCACCGGTGAATCCATGCCAAGATTTGGGGAATGTGTTGGGTTCCCAACAGTAAACCCCAAGTTATGGTGAAGTTATGGGCCCCAAATGCAGACTGGGTATGGTTTTCAATCCCGCAGATTTCATCATAACCATCCCCATGTTCAAAAGGACCCACATTCGACCCATAGGCAGCTTTGTTAGTCCAAAATAGATGGAAAATTATAGCCTATCAAATCCACTTGGTTGTTCTGCCATATCTTCTTAGATACCCTACATAAATTATAGCCATGTTTTATGCCCTAAATTATATGTAGCCTATAAATTATAGCCTTTATAGCCATATTTCAATTGTCCCCCTCTAAAAAATGGCAATTTTGCGGCCAACTGGTCACCCCAAGTCATAGCCGAGGTATGGATCAGGCCTGGCTCCCGAAGGCTGAAGGAATGGCCGACGCTTGGATTGAGCAGGACACCCGCTGCGGTTGGAAAGTCTGGCACAACAGGACTGCACAACCTACGCATCCGGTGGACCCTGCACCTCACTTTTTCTGGGAAAGTGGTTGTTATTCAATGGGAATTCCAGGATCCTGACATGGAGGTACGTTAGTACCATTTTTTAGGCCATATTTTGGGGCTGAAATTCCTGAGTCATGGCCATTGATTTATGGTTTCTATATGTTTCTATTGAAATTCTATTGGTGTCTACAATCAACCCATCATTCATGTTGGAAATCCTCATGCATATGGATGCTGGTGGGAAATCCGTTGCGGATGGTCGATGGAATCCGATGGAACCAATGGCGGTCGATGACCATATTCGAAAAACACATCTCAATACCTATATCCAAACTATTCCAAACTTAAGAGCTTATACAGGGGTTGGTAACTGTCCCATTTTGGGTATATTGGACATCACCTTATAGTAACCATGGGGACATTTAATGACCCATGTTATAAATCCAGATCATTTTATGCCGAAAATGTAGCACTTTGGCTCTCCCAATAGCACTTTTTGCTGGCCGAAGATGATCTGGATTCGGAAGAGTGGCGTGCAGACGTCTCCTGCTGTTTCGCAAGAGCTGTACGGAAAACCGCGCAAAAGAAATCCGGGGTCCCAGACTTTCCGGATCCATAACAAAATTTGTGACCCATCGCAAAAACCATGCGGTGCGGAATTTCTGGATTAATCCTCCTGAATTTGGAGGATCTCCGCGATGTTCATCAATTTTTCTTTACTAACCTTAGTGATGAAGATCAGGCCTGCATGGTTGATGGGCCTTTTTTGCCCACCCCAAGCAAGCTCGTGACTTTCTCCTCAAAGTCGTCAACGATTTGGTCGGCCTTCCACTCTTCCAAGATCAAGCAGATCGTCCTCATCACTTGGAGATAGAGCCTCTCGGAGAGGGATAGGACGAGGCATATGAATGAATGTACCCAATCACCCAACAAGAAATGCCAGTGACTCAAAAACACTAGTCATACTGCTGATGAATCATGATGAATCTTTTTGTTGGTCAGTTCCCCAGGTTTTGCTGGTGACATAATTATATTTTTTCCGACTTTTCTTCTTTAAAATGCTTTTAAAAGTCCTATGTTCTGATCCTCCAAAGTTACCCTCTGGTAATTTAACATAGCTATTGAAAATCGCCATTTATAGTTGATTTTCCCATGAAAAATGGGGATTTTCCATCGTTTTTTGTAGGTTTACCAGAGGGTATCCATCTCCAAAAATATGTTGCTTCGCCCCGCCTCAAGGTGCTCTTGCCGTGGATGTTTTCTCCCACCCTCGGGTCGTAGCGATCCTTGATGCTGGGCCATTCCTGCCATGTTTCATGCTGCCACAAGTAGCTTACTGATACAGATGAAGCCAAATATAGCACATGGCATATAGTATATGGCATATAGCATAGATATAGATAAAAATTATTCGTATGATATAATATAGAGATATGATGCCAAGTACAGAGACCTCAGATATAGATGGATAGACATTTGATATAAAAAATAATACCATATATTTACCCCACCCGTCACTGGGAACAGATCCGCCCCTGCAACAGGGGTCCCCAATTTTCGGGCAAAAAAGTGGAGTTAGTCTAAGCAAGTCTTTTCCAACATTGTTCATCCATAGATCATTGGCTAAGTTGTTTCATCCAAAATCAATCCACCATACCCTCTGGTAAACGTTTACATAACTATGGAAAATCACCATTTTAAAATATGTTTAATGGGAAAATCCACTATAAATTCTTGTTATCCATTGTTCATCCGTTCTTTCATCAATCCATTGACATCGCTGCGAAATGCTGCGGCCCCGTCTCCTTCTTGGGGCACATCTTGTAGATCTGACCAACTGCCGCGATGAGTCCAAACCTGGAAAACTATGCAACAAACACCTTCCGAAAAAAAAACGACAGATGAAGTTCCAAAGGCTTTCAACAAGTCTCAGATGAATAATAGTGGTAAACCACCATTATTAACCACTATTATTAACCACTATTATTAACTATTATTATTAACCACTATCTCATGACTAGAAGTGAATTTGAGATGATTCTCCACTAATCATGAGATCCACTAATTAGAAGACTTCAACAAAGAAGATCTCATGATGGTATATGATGGTGAATTATATCATATTCTCCACTAATGATGACCTTCTATTCTTCATGGCATGGTGAATTTAAGCCACCACATATCGATTTTAAGGATTAATTATACCATCACCATAGCATCGAGACACATCTGCTGCAGGGCAGTGAGGGTGAACTGCATCCGCAAGACCTCTTTGTCCAAGCTGGGTCCTCCAAAATCCTTCATTGTGCTCACTGCGCAGTCCAGGTAGGCGTCCATGTTTTCGGACATCCCCTGGTCGCTGGCTGAAAAATTGCGGCTGGGAGTTATGGGAAATGCTGGCAACAAGAACGAGAGGTGTACTTGGAGTGCTATATTCATTACAATTTCTAACTGCTATCATAAGGCATTTACATTATTCTCACCGAAGCACAAGCTGAGTATCTGTGAATTGAAATCGTGAAATTCAGGTTCAAATCTCAGAGTGCGAAATCTTCCCATCCAAAAAGCTGGGAGTCCGTTGAGAATGGATCTCCAATGATCTTTCATACTCCGGAACCTCTAAGAAGCATCATGCCATGATCTCCAGAATCAGGCCCTCAGAATCCGAACACTTCGAACATTTTAAGTGGCCCCTGAGACCATGGGAGACCCTGCAACCCTTGGACGCTGGTGGCCTCGAAGTCTTGACAGTACATCCACCACCACATCTTGAAGCCCAAAGATTTTGAACCCATAGAGCCCCAATCGAACACTCCCAGCTCTAGCTCTCCTTCGGCGTTGCGCCAGAAGTAGCCATTGTCAACCTAAGTTGGCAGAAATCTTGGGATCAAACTGACAACAGTCAGGCAAGAAGAGGGAAAATGTTGGTTGCTTGAAAATTGTCAGGATACTCCATGTTCTTTGAGAAAAATGTTCGAACATCGGGAAAATATTCAGATCCACCCATGGTATTTGCACCCCCCACGTGGAAAGTTAACACCTAGACTTCGTAACAAAAACTCTTCATAGCCCAGCAACGTTGAGGTTGTTGTGGGTGAACACGATATAGTCAGGATCTGAATGGCACCAGTAGTTCATCTCAGCCATGTAAGCATTCAACTTCATCAGAGTTGTCCTTGGATCATCCAGAGCCCCTAGTGGTTTCTAGCAACTTTGAGTCTTTGAGTGTCAAAATTCTCCCTCAATGGATGGTTACTTGGACTTCACATCACAGTGAGCCGAAAAATTGGGGTCCATTGGCGCCCCAGCGTCCTGAGCTTTTGCTGAAAGACTTCGGTGCCACAAAAGGATGGGAAGAGGACCTTCCCTGTGTCAGCCATAAAACTCAGTGCGGTGTCAATCTTGGTCTTCAGCTGATTGGGTGGTTGGCCGCTGCACTCCGCCTTTATGCCATAAGCTTCCTTTGGTACAGAGCTGAAGTCCTCAAAGTATTTCCTGTGGGAAATCTGGCAGCCCCTGATAGCTAGTGCAGGGAATGGGGGGCAAAACTTCACTTGTGGCTGGTTGTTGCAAAGGATGGGTGGAATCGACGTGCGATTCAAAGCTGGAACTGCACCTCCACCAGTAATATCATGGAGTTTACAACTGGAATAACAACGCTGAGAATGCTGAGGGGCAAAAAAAACGCGATTCCATACCCCAGGTATTGTGGATCATTGCAATTCATACTAGTACATAATCAACCAGTTGTTGGCTAATGCCCCACCTGTATCCCCATTTCGCTTGACTACATCCCGGAGATCGTGAAATCCATTGAAATCCCAATTCCTGCGAACACTGGGCGGAATCTGGCTGTTACTGTCCTTGATTATCACGGTGATTCTATTATAGTAATACCTGATGGTGTCTTCATGAATCCAATTAGCCGGAAATACATATACCATCTGGTTATTTAACATAGCCATGGTATAGATGGCCCATAGAAATAGATGGTTTACCTATTAAAAATGGTGATTTTCCATGGCTATGTTAGTCAGAACCAGAGGGTAATACATACAACATCTTATTACCTTGTTATCTTTAAGATCCAAAAATTCCAGCAACATCGGGTCCTGAAGACTCCATCACTCTTTGAGTGATGGGGCTACCTTTTTTTTACATGCCTGGAAATACCCGGCCCAAGCACTAGCTTTAGCTTCCGTAAATACACCCCAATCACTAGGCTGATCTAATCATTCATCACCTACCAATTATCAGGTGGACTGTATACAAGTACAAGTTTTAAATTTGCCCGAGAATATCCCCTGACCCCTGGGGCATCTCCCAGCCCCGGCCTCAGATGTGTGGTATCTCCGAAGGCGCCTGCTTTCCCCAGGCCGGCCATCTTGGCTCCGCAACGAACCAAGGCCATGTAGTACTCCTTGGGCTCTCCACGGAGGCACCAATCCATACCTCGCTGACCGTTTTGATCTCCTTTTCTAGTCCGTTTTCAGTCGAAAAATCGTCCATTTCAAATGGTAAATATTGCCAAGAAAGTCGTGTTGACCTATACCAATTCTCCATTTATATAGTGTATGCTTCCCTTCTCCCAGGTGCATTTGTCATAGGGACCTTCGATCTCAAAAGGCTGCAAGCGCTCCTGAACAGGCCAAAGAAGGGACCACTCAGCTGAAATATGGACATCACCAGCCGAAAGTATCTAATGTTTTTTCTATATGGGGATATCGGGATATAGGGATACCATATTAGCCAGCAATATTAATGATACCCTCCGGTAAACTAACATAGCTATTGAAAATGGCCATTTATAGTGGATTTTCCCATTAAAAATGGTGATTTTCCATGGCTATGTTAAATTACCAGAGGGTATTTGGGTGAATGGATGAATATTGCCCTTTTTAGGTGTCATCGAACATGGGCTGGGAAATCCCGAGCCAATTAAAACATGATGACCATAGCCCAAATGGATTTGGTCCAAATGGACGACCATTTCTAGCCCAATTTCTGGATAAATGACCGTAATTCACCTGAAAAGTTCGGCTATCTCGTGCTATATCAAACACCCACATCTGCCCACATCGTGATGTTTCCACAGTCCTTGGGAGCTCCTCGTGTCTTGCCCTCAAAGTCCAACCGCTGTGGATCTTTGAAATTGATGCCTTAGCTGGGAAGAACTGAGGTCTCCAAGATTCAAAAAAACAATTTGGGAGTGACTGATCTGCAAAGGTCAAAACCTAAATCTGAGATCTTTGATATTTATAGATATCTATATAATATCCGCAATTCTTGGTGTTTTGGTGTCATTCTCCGTTCTTTTGTATGCACTCCTGCGAGCCGTGCATGACTACATGGATCAAGCCTCATGAGACTCTCACTCTTCTCCCCCACATTGTCATTTCCCACGAAAATCAAGTGTCCAGACTGGAGAAAACTCCTGGCAGCAACCCAGAATTTCCCAGATACTCTCTGTGATCAGGATGAAGTTGGACGTCTCATTGCTGATGTCGCCAAAATAATACCTGCTGTCAATTGCACTCCATGCATTGCACTTGGGATCATGTTTTCCTGTCAGGTCTGCCGACCACATTTCTTTTCAGGACTGATGTCCGCAATTTACCTCTCAAGAATGGGAGGGACTTTCGACCAGCCCTTAGGCTACGCTAAGGAAAAGTGCCTCGTTTGCACTGCCTTGCTTCGCTGTGAACTTCGAGTGTCTCAGCTCAACTGGCTGCCCAGTTTATACTGGTCAGCGGAGCTTTGTTTCAATCCCCACTGCGCACTCCACTTCAACTTGAACATTTCACTGAACCACCACTACCATTGCCAGATCTTCCTGCTCTATTCAACGTTCTTGACTTCCGAGATTAAGCTGTTCTTTTGCACTGTGCTCTCTGACGAGCTCTTTGACCTTGACGAGCTCTTTGAACCTTGCACTGTGCTCCTTGGCGAGATCTTTGTCCTTGCTGAGCCCTTCACTGGTTTTGACCTGCGCTGGCAGTATCTCTTCGAGCTTGTGCCATCTGCGCCTTGCCTCTTGAACTATGTCGAGCTCAGGTTCAACCACGCTGGACTCCAACTTCACGAAGGACTCCTTCATTCCGATGTTTGATGGATCTCCCAGCTCTTACCAGGAGTGGAGAAAACGTATCCACATCTACCACCTGAAGATGAAGTTGCAGAAGAGAGCTGTGGAGTCCGTGCTCAACATCATCGGATCTTTGCAGGGCACAGCTTGGAAGCTTGTTGAAAGCTTTGATGTGACCAAGATCGATGAGGCTTCATCCTTTGACGCTGTGATTGCATTGCTGGACGGTGCATTTCAGTATGACAATCGAGTCCGTATGCCTCAGGACTTTGACAATTACTTCAACCTGACCCGCAAACCTGGAACCTCGCTCCTCTCCTACTGCACGGAGCACGATGAGAAGTATCGCAAAGTCGCTGAGCATGGAGTCAAACTTCCTGATCAGATTCAAGGCTGGCTACTGCTGAGAAGAGCCAACCTTACAAAGGAACAATACCAATTGGTGTTGTCTCAGGCTCCGAAGCTTGAGAAACTTCGTGTCCAAGAAGCCTTGTTCATCATCCTCGGGCAAGATCATCGATCTGCTGTGAACCGAGATGATCGACGACCTGGTGCTGGCCGCTTCTTCAGAAACAAGGCCTTTGCAGCCCAGGATGATGAGACCTACGATGACACAGATGCCTATGATGATGGCTACTACGAGTACGATGATGGCTATGCAGCTACTGAGTACGAGGCTTTTGATGAAAGTTGGACCGAAGACTACTTTGACTCCAATGCTGCATACTATGAAGGTGAGGGGAACTACAACGCTGACGATGCAGAGACCCTTGCCGAGTTTGACGTTGACACCTATGATGAAGCATATGCTGCATACCTTGATGCAAGACGTCGCTTTCAGGACATCAAACTGTCCAGAGGTTTCCTTCCTGTGGTTGCCTTAGACCAAAGCTCTATGGCCAATGCACCTTCAAGCGGATCACCTTCTCCGACCAGAGGGAAGGGCAAGGGTGGGAAACCAAAGGGCAAGAAAGGGAAAGGCAAGGGTAGCAATGTGGTGCGCTATCCACCTCGTGGTGCTGGCAAAAACCCTGACCCAAAAGGCAGAGCCTCTGCCGTGTTGCATTGCTTGCGCTGTGGATCTGCAGGACACCAAGCAGCTCAATGTCCACGACCAGCTAAGCATGCCACGACTTCCTCCACTGCATCCAGCCCAAAGAAGCAGCACACTGAAGGCATGGCTGCTCAGATGATGCCTGGAGAAACTGGCTTGGTGCTTTTTGAAGACAATGCTGGCCGACCTCGAGTTGACTGCACTATGTTGGATCCTGGCGCCAGTGCCTTTTTGATGGGTTCAGGACCCTTTGAGCGCTACATTGCCCACCTGAAAGACCTTGGCTTCCCCACTGAGACCATTGAGATGCGACGCACTTCCAGAACTTTTCATTTCGGTGGTGACCATTCCACCACGAGCCATTGGGTTGCCAGAGTTCCAATCTTTGTCAACAACAACTTTGGATTTTGCCAGGCCTTCATCATCAAGGGTGAGACACCAATGCTGATGGGAAGACCCATCATCGAAGCCCTTGGCATCATCATCGACTTCAAGAACCAAAGAATGATGTTTGAAGGCTGCCCCTGGCGACCAATAACGCTTGGCAGACATGGTGAATACCTTCTTTCTCTGACGGAGGACTTTGAGACTGAACTTGCAGACCAGGTCCCCTACTTTGACCTCAAGCTCAACGAGCCGACAATGGACCCACCAATGGGAGATGCTGTGGACCTGTCCGTCTACGAGAAGGAAGAAGGTGCCATGACTGCAGGCGAGCACTCTGCTCCACCTGAACCTGGCTCTCGAGCCGTCTTGAACAAGCACTGGAAGATGTTTGAGAATGCCATGACCTCTGAGGAAAATCGAGTCAATGCTTGCATCACCAAGGAACTCCATCAAAGCCAGCCTCGACCACGAATCGTTTGGGAAGTCTATGCAGGTGCGTCTCGCACTTCACAACTGGCTGAAGCTCTTGGCTGTGATGTTCAGGTCTTTGGATATGACACCGGCTGGGACTTTGACATTGCCAGTCACAGAACTGCTTTTCTACAACTCATGGATGAAGTGCTTCCCGACGAAGTGTTCCTGGCTCCTCGATGTGGACTCTGGAGTCGTATGCAAGCTATCAATGCCACCACTGATGAGAAGAAGGAGTTGCTGACCCAACAACGACAGCTCCATCATGACTGCCATCTTCGGTTTTGCCGCAAGATCTACCTGAAGCAGCTGAATGAGGGCCGACATGCCCACCTTGAACAACCAGATGGCGCCTTGTCTTGGCACACCAAGGCTCTGGCGACCTTGCCTGGCCTCTATGCCATCTTTGACCAATGCCGATACGGCGCATGCTGCCTTGACCATGATGGTGTTTGGCGCCCTGTTCGCAAAACCACTGGACTTCTGACAACCAAGTCTGCAATGTCACAAGCCATGAACCTTCGATGTGAAGGAGATCACTACCACTGCAAGCTGGAGGGAACCTTCCCTGGCACCGGGCGCTCAAGAACCAGCTATATGGAGGACTACCAGCCTGCGCTCTCAGCTGTCCTTGCGTCAGCCCTTGCAGTTCCTGAAGTTCCTCACTGCTGGGAAGATGTGAACGCTGTGGATGAAGTCAAAGCTGTCCAAGGCAAATTGATTCAACTGATGACAGAAAACCATGGTGAAGCTGTGCGGACTGTGCAGCGTCTTCACCGTAACCTTGGACATCCTTCACCGACTTCACTGGTTGAGATGCTTGAATCCAGAGGTGCTTCTGAAGCTGTTCTTGCTGTTGCCAGAACATTCCAGTGCCACTCTTGCCTTAGATATCGAAAACCCAACCAAGTGGCACCTGCATCCTCGAAGGTGATTTGCAAGTTCAACCAAAGTGTTCAAGCCGATGTTTTTTGGCTGAAAACCGGTGACAACAAGATTCCAATTCTTTCCATGGTTGATGAGGGCACCAAGTTTCAAGCTGCCCAAGTTGTGAACAGCGAGAAAGCCGAGGACTACATCTTGGCCCTTGAGCGATGTTGGATCTCTCACTTTGGTCCCATGACCAGACTGGTCACAGATGAAGGTCGTGGATGGCTTGGCCGTGAATTCGAGGCCTGGACTGATGAGCATTCAGTTCATCATGTTGTTGCTGCTGGAGAGGCACATGAACAACTGTCCTTAGTTGAAAGAAGGCACTCAGTTTTGAGGAAAGCACTGGAGATCTACTTGGTAGACTTTGGAATGACTGGTGCCAATGCTGTGCGACAAGCCCTGAGCTACGTGGTGCCTCAGCTCAACAACTCACCATCCACTTCTGGCTTTTCACCTGCTCAATGGGTACTTGGCCAATCTCCTGATTTTCCTGGCGAGCTTCTTGGATCTTCTTTGACCCCAGTACACCTTGGAGGTACCTTTGAAGACGAGCTCTCCAGGCGAGCCACTGCAAAGATGGCCATTGTCCAAGCAGATGTGGACCAAAAGCTTCGACGCGCACTGTTGCGCAAATACGCTGGCAACAACATTGCACTCAACCCTGGACAGAAGTGTTTCTTCTGGCGAGACAGCCGCAATGCTGACTTGGTGAAAATCCGATGGAAAGGGCCTGCCACCATCCTCATGAGAGAAGAAGATGATGATGGTCGAGCGAAAGTTTACTGGCTGGCCTACAAATCTCAACTTCTTCGAGCTGCTCCTCACCATGTTCGACCTGAGATTGGCAAGTCTTCTGAGCCTCTGGCTGACAACTTCCAGACTGCCAAGGACGTGGTGCAGCAACTCAGATCTCGAGGTGTCACTCGCTACTTGGATCTCAACGTCCTCAACAAGAGACGCTTGGAAGATGTGGGCACTGATGAAGAGGTTCTTGATGACGGCAATTCAGATCTTGAACAACCTGCTCACCGCCGTCGTTTGCTTGACTCCACCCTGATCGAAAGACCTCCAATTGCTGACGAGGAGTACTCACCCTCCATCCTCCAAGAAGATGAGGACCTTGACACCCCTGATCTTGGACTTTCAGATCAACAAGGTCTGCCTCCTGGATTTGAGGCTTCATCTGCTCCACTTGGACTTTCGGAGCCGGCACAACCTGGATTTGTTGATGCCGATGGAACTGCTCTCCAAGTTCCAATCCCTGAGCTGTCAGCAGACATTCCGATCAGCAGTGGAGAACCTTCTCAAGAACCAAGTCCCACACACATGGACACTGAGATTTCCAACCAACGCCCTATGACACCGAGCAATTTGCCCAGACCATCGATTGAACAAGATCTACTACACCAACCACCTTCTCTACTGACAACTTCTTCAATCCAGCAGAGTCAGATTCCAAGTCCACAACCTACAACATCACAATCAACTCTACCAGAAACACATCAACCTTCCTTGCCACCACCTGCACAAGTTCCACAACTTGATCCAATCACTGCATCACTCTATCAACCTGCAACAGATGAAGACTTCAGAAGTCATCGACGTCGCCTTGCGCAACAAGAAACAATGTCTTTTGGACCATTTCGTCGACGACGTGAACAGCAACAACCAACAGGTGAGCATGGTTCTACACCATATGCTGAACCACCATCCAATGAGTCTGCCAACAACTTGGAAGACAGCCCTTTTGCCTTTGAGATTGAAGACATGGAGATCAATGCCTTACCACCTGGATGGAAGCTCGAGAATGGCTACATCACTTTGGATGACAAGACCCGTGACCACTGGGAACTTCGAGCTGGATGTCTCATTCGACATCATGCCATTCCACGACGAGCTCTTTTTGATCCTCGATCTCTTTCTGCCCGCGACTTGCAACACTTGCCGGTGCCCTTGAATTGCCTAGATCCTGTGAGAGTCACGGTATGCAAGTCGGACGATGGCATCAACCACTACTCCGACAAGATTTCAGATGGGCATGGTAAGCTGTCCAACAAGCCTTGGACTGGATGCACAGTCTTCCAACTCAACGGCAAGACTCGACATGAACTTGGATGCCACGCTTACTCAGCCATGACTGCCAAGCAAGTTGGCAAGAAGGCCAAAGTACATGCTCAACGACAAGTTCGCAAAGCTCAGCCGAAGAATGAGATCAGCGAGAAAAAGCTGACTTTGGAAGACCGTTTGCTGTTCCACCAGGCCAAAGTCAAAGAACTCAAGTCGTTTTTCGACAATGGAGTGTGGTCTTTTCAAACCACCAAAGAAGCGATTCCAAGCCGCACTATGTCCAGCAGAATGCTCCTTAAATGGTCAAAGAATGCAGATGGTACACCTCGTGCCAAAGCCCGATTGGTTGTCAGAGGTTACACTGATGCCGATGCTCTTGAGGGCAAGCTGGACACTGCATCACCTGCGAGCACTCGCCTTGGAAGATCTGTGCTCCTCAGCATCTCTGCATGCTGTGGCTGGTGCGGTTGGAGCGCTGATGTTTCAACAGCCTTTCTTCAAGGCCTACCACAAGAACGCCAACTTTGGGTTCGTTTACCAGCTGATGCCAACCGGATACTTGGGGGTGACGAAAACACCCGGATGTACCTACACAAACCGGTCTATGGCCAACTTGATGCACCCAAGCGCTGGTTTCTTGAAGCCACCAGGCGACTTCGCAATGGTGGATGGATTGCACATCCCATGGACCCTTGTTTTTGGCGACTTTATGAACCAGCAGTTGAAGGCTCTGAACCCGTTTTATGTGGCCTCCTGGTGCTCCATGTTGATGATATGCTGGGATGTGGAAACCCCAACTCTGAGACTTACCAGAAGGCCGAAGCAGAGCTCAAGCAGTCTTTCAACTTCAGAACTTGGCAGAAGGATGAGCCCTTCGAATACTGCGGTGCCCATATGACACGCGATGATGATGGCACCTGGCATGTGAGCCATGACCAATACCTGAAAAAGATCATGCCTTTGAACTTTGAGAAGGGACGTCAAAGCCACCAACCTTTCAGCGAGAAAGAGCAGACTGCTCTCCGTGGTCTTCTTGGAAGTTTGCAGTGGCCTGCGGTACAATCGTCACCACATATACAGGCGAGCACCTCCTTGCTGAGTGGTGAGATGAGCACTGGACTTTCCTCAGCCTTGATCGAGGCCAACCGGCTTCTTCGTTTTTGTAAGGCCAACAGTGATGTCCACCTGAAGTTTCCTCCGTTGGGCCCACTTCCTGAACTTCGTTTGACATGCATGTTTGATGCTGCCCTGGGAGTCCGACATGATGGATCAAGTCAAGGTGGTTACATCATAATGTTGACCCACAAATCAGCTTTTGAAGGCGCTGAAGTGCCTTACCACGTGCTGGATTGGCGATCTTTCAGACTGCCACGGGTGTGCCGCTCAAGTCTTTCTGCAGAAGTTCAATCAGCAGCTCAGGCCATTGATAGCACTGAGTTTGTGATTCGCTTTTGGCACATGGTTTTGAATCCGAATGCAACTCTTCGACAAACCTTGGATGTATCGAAACCAACTTTGAGCCCCACTTTCATCACGGATGCCAAAGCCCTGTATGATAGCTACCACAGAGACGCTATAAACCATGGGGCTACAGACAAAAGAACCAATTTGGAACTTCGTGTCATCCGCGAACAAGTCGAAGGAGTTGGTGGAGTTTTGAAATGGATTTCTTCAGAACGCCAGTTTGGCGATGGATTCACAAAAATGGCTGCCCGGCAACTATTAGCCGACCGTTTGCGACATGGTTCCATCAAGTTCACTTGGGACCCTGAGTACCAAGCTAGCAAGAAAAAGACAGCTGCAGAACGTGAGAAAAGCAGGAATGAATTCACCACAACAACCACAAAAACCACACACAACCACCACAAACCACATACAACCGAGCAGGAAGATGCACATGATGATGAGGCTCCAGCTACCAATGATGATGTGAACATGACTGTGGAACCCTATGTGACTGATCCCAACCTAACTTTTGAGAATGCCCAGCTCTCTGTAGATGCCGACGTGACACTGAATGTCCAGACCCCGGAAGATGTGCGCTTCATGGAAGAGATCTATGACATTGAAACCAATGCAGCCCATGGCGAGCCCTTTGTTTTACCGAATAACCAGGTCCCTGTAGAGGCCTACTCCTTGAGCCATGGCGGCGCTGGTGCTATGCTGAAGTATGTCTTCATGGCCACTGCGTTTTGCACTGCTGAATCCGTTAAACTGGAGGTCCAAGACCAATGCAGTGCCGATGATGCGCCACTGACTGCGACAGCACATTCAATTTGGGTTTCAATGCTGATAGTTTTTCTGGCCTTTCTTCTGGGTCTTTTGTTTCACTACGTGGTCTCCAAACAGTTGAAGGAGGAAGTGAGATCTCTTAGAGATGCCAACGCCCAACTGCTTCGAGGCCAAACCAATATGGAGCTCACCAACCGCCAGTTGAACGCAGAAAACCGGCGATTGAGAAGCACCTTGATTGACCGTGAGTTGGTCATTGACAACAACCAAGAGTTGCGAGAACAAGAACGACAAGATGATCGAAACACCATACGACGTGCCAGCGGTATCCTTGACCGCGCCTTGACTGAGACTTGGAACTTGAACCAGTTCCAGCTGTGTTTTGCCACGACTGGCAGATGCTGGCATGCAGACGCCAACTGTGCCGGTCTGGTGAATGCAAATCGCGTTGAGATGCGAGACGCTTGCACCTTTTGTTTGAGTCACTGCCTTCCACCATGGATTCCTGACCAGACTTTTGGCACTACTTTGAAAGAAGAGATTGAGAGATTCTGGCAAGATCATGGAAGAGTAAACTATGTGGATTCGATCATTCACTGAGAGCCGGGCATAGCTTTCCCCTGTGTCAATTGCACTCCATGCATTGCACTTGGGATCATGTTTTCCTGTCAGGTCTGCCGACCACATTTCTTTTCAGGACTGATGTCCGCAATTTACCTCTCAAGAATGGGAGGGACTTTCGACCAGCCCTTAGGCTACGCTAAGGAAAAGTGCCTCGTTTGCACTGCCTTGCTTCGCTGTGAACTTCGAGTGTCTCAGCTCAACTGGCTGCCCAGTTTATACCTGCTTTTTTGCAGCACCAAAATGGACTTTCAACAGGAATGTGACTGAGCTGGTATTTTTACTGGGAATCGCACTTGGGGGTTGAGTCGTCACTAGAAAGGGGTCACCACTTTGGGATCACACTACCAGTTTGGAATCACCATATAGGTAACGATGACCCTGAAACTTCATGAATGAGCCCCTTGCCATAGATGCCGCCTTCGTAACGTGGCTACCTTCGTAACGTGCGCGCGTCCAAAAAAAGTACACCTCTGAGCAGGTTGCCCAATTTCCAGTGCCTTTCATCACAATACGTCACGACTGTATGATGTTCCCTAACACGACTGCGGGGATGAACATCCATGATTTTCCAGAAGATTTTCCAGGGTGGACTGACCCACACCCAAGATGTGTTTCACTGCTGTGAGGGTATATTATCCTCACTATTCATCATATTTTTTCACATCATTACTAGTATAATTATCAATGTTAGTGTTATTAGCAGTGTCGCTTTGAATCATCATTGTTATCATTATCATTATCGTGATGATCATTCTGAATGGTACGTTTATTACTATTCCTGCTATTGTCATTGATATTATTACCATTATTATTGATGTTGGCACTTTGGTTAATTTTGATATTATTATTGTACTTTTGATGCATCTTTGATATCATGATCATCATATTCCTATCATTATTATTGGCACTTTAGTACTGACTGTTACTACTACTATTACTATTATTATTGATATGGACTATTATCATGAAGTTATGACCATTATCCTTAATATCATTATGACTTATTATCATTATCATTATGACTTATTACTGGTTGGTGGTTTCAACCCCTCTGAAAAATATGAAAGTCAGTGAGAATGATTATTCCCAATATCTGGAAAAATATAAAATGTTCCAAACCACCAACCAGATTATTATTGATTATTCTTAATGAATTCGACCTCCAAAAAGTTGGCGGTTTTTTACGGCGCCTGGGAATCTTCACTGGCAAGGTGGCTTCCAAAAGCCGAGAGGAGTTCAGCTCATAAAACTCCTGGCGCCAGAAAAACCCCCCCACATAGCGCGAAGATCAAGAGATCAACCACAGAAAGTACCCTCTGGTAAACCTACAAAAAACGATGGAAAATCACCATGCTATTAATGGGTAAATCCACTATTTCGACTGGGCCATTTTCAATAGCTATGTTAGTTTACCAGAGGGTACACCAAAAGATTTACCCCGGCAGTGTGGGGAATTTTTTGTGTCTTTTTGCATCAGACAAGCTGCCAGGTTTTGACACTTTTGACAAGCCAATTGGGTTGTCAATGTGGCTCCAACAAGCCCAAAAAAATTGGTGGAAACGCCAGCAAGAAGATTAGGATGGATTCCACCATTGCCATGACAAACTGCCAGGAGATCAAGATTTATCCACTGGACTGGGCCCCACTTCACTGGTGGACCAACTTATCATAGCACAAAGGTGGTTTGTTAGCTGCAAATGCCAAGCATTTCTAGGACCTCCAAAACTCAATGCCAAGATGCCAACACCCCCCATGGGCTGGATGAGACACCAGCTCATGTCTCTTGCCATCCCAGCAATAGGTAAATGGCTGGCATCTGCATCGTAGTCAATATCTAAGTTAGTAAGTTGTAGCTTAGAGGTGAAATGCTTATATGGCAAATTATAAGTGCCATATAGTATGTATATATATATAGAGAGAGAGAGAGTCAATATCTAAACCCTCAAACCTAAGACCATTATCAGTGCCTCTGCGACATGACCATTGCCTCTGCGACATGGTGATCCTGTTGATCCGAGGCTCCATGGGCTGTTTGTTCACAGAGGTGCTAAGGCGGTCCGATTGCGTGGCAGCTTCCATGGAATGCGGAATCTTCGCGAACAGACCTCGGTGTCTCGGCGACCGAGGAAGATCCCGTTTCATCCCATGTCAATCATCATGAGAAAAAAATGCAGCTTTGGGTTTTTTTTCTGGTTGGATCTCTTTTTGAAAAGCCCTTGATGGGTGGATTGTTAACCAGGATCGTTCAAATTCTTGAAGGTTTCCATGTGGCACTCGATATGTTGAGAACCAGGGTGAAAAATCGGATATATCCCATTAGAAACACCAGTTACTACATGGGATGTTAGGCATTGACCAAGTGGGATGCACATGCAACTAGCACAGATGACCAAATTCGGTCAAAACTCTATGCCCTCAAAAATCTCATGGTGCACTTCCTTCACCAAACCACTGAGTCTTGCAACACCAAACTTTGACCCAGAGCCAGCTCAAGCGAGAAACGAGTATGAAGATCCGGAGAAGAATGAAGATACTCCACCTCGAAGAGGAATTTGCCTCCATTGTTTCCTGATGTCAGTAGGGAAAATGCAGCTGGTCAGATTGCGCCAAGATCAAAATGGTTTTTAATCTTCATGGTTTTGAGCAGCTCCCAACAAACATGTTTGAGGACGGTTGTCATGTACCTTGCAGATTGCACAGCCACCTTGACCCGGGAGACAAACACTCACCGAATCGAGGTTAAACAAGAGCTTTTCTGCTCCGCTCACAAGTGACACACCTAGCGTTGCAACCTCTGATGAAAACCACACATGCCACAGGTGGTACCCGGTACCCAGAAGAAGTGTGCAAAATTCTGCAACATTTGGCCACATGGTGGTACCCATCATACAGGAATACACCCCAGTCAATCTTTGGACGGTGCCTGTGGTGATCTTGAAGGGATCTGCACTGACCTTCAGAATTTTGTTGTCCTGGCAACGATGGAAAGAGATCAGCGGCTCTGTCTGCATCTTGCCAGCTATGCTCCAAAATAACGTTCCAATATCTACTCTACTAGTTTCAACATCTTTGTCTACTAGATGTCTACCATCCATTCACTCTCAACCATCCAACCCTCCAACCCTTCGCCTGAGACAAGGTGCCGGCCACGTGCATGGCTTGTGTCAGCCACTCAGCGCCAAATTTGGAGCTCAGGAGCATCTCTTCGGTCCAGGGAAAGTTCAGGCCGTAGAACATCCCAGGCGCCAACTTTTCGTGGTTCTTCATCACCTCCAACCAACGTTAACAGGTAAAGGATGGTAGTGAAATGTGAACGAGTCCACGGAAATCCCAAAAAGAAAAAGGGGGTTGTTCTAAATCAAATCAACTGCGAAACAACTCGAAAATACCAAGAAAACTGCGATGAAACTTGTAGAGATGGATCAAAATCCCACCTGTTCGATGGAAATCTGTTTCCACTCCGGTACCGGTCTCTTCATCTCCTGGCTGCACCATTGAAAACATAGCTTCCCCATGGCGCTTTAACGCCATGGTTGACACAAGCATCCATGCTAGAGTGGTAAACCATACTGTGCCCCATTCAGCCAGTTTGAAGAGGTATCAAAACACCATGCTGCCAAGCCAATGACGGTCCTTTCTAGGTGCATTGGACTCTTCTTTTGGAAAATGACGTTGTTTTTTGGAAGTTTGGCTGCCCTCAGATGAGGGTTTTCACTCATTAAACCACAACCCCACCAAGACATGTATAGATGTATAGAATCCTAGCAAACCCATCATTAGCATTAGCATTGCCCATGAAGGGTTATATCAATGATATCCAAAAAAAAAAGTCTCCAAGAAACCCCACCCCAGTGCCGCCAGTCGTGCCAACCAGTCGTTCTCCTTGTTGCAGCGTTTCTGGATCTGCCACTGCAACTCCGACGTTCCCTCGGGCGCCTCATCCTCCAAGTCATCCTCCAAGGGCGCCGCGGTGCGACGCGCCAACTCTTTCCCGGAGATCTGGATGCTGACCCAACCACTCTCCGGGCCCGTGCCCTTCCTGAATGCTTGGGAAATGCTTGGGGAAATATGGGGAAATATAGGGTGAAATTGGAAAACCCATGGAAAATTCCATGAGGTTTTTTTTTTTCCAGAACTGGATGGGTTGGAAAAAGGGGAGGCAAAATGATTTCGAAAATGTGGTGAAAGGGAGCCGAATTTCTCCAAGGAAATTAGGATGGGATTATTCTCGTCTTTATCCGATTCTGGGATGGGGATAACAGTGATAACAGTGACCTGGGAATCAATGAACCGGCCAACTGAGGCAAAATGATTGGGGAAATGTGGAGTGGTAACACCAGCCATTTTTCTGAGGCTGACCGTGAGGATCTTGGGCCTTGAACCTACCATTCGACAAAAAACGCAAGAGACCACTTGGGGTGAAGGGAACCGCACCCTTGAAATTGGACGGTCGGAAAATGTTGGAAATCCTAATTGACACCATCGATACACCATCCAAATCGATGTCGTGAAAATTGGAAGAAAAGCCCAAATCGGCACCGAGAGCCTGGCCGTAAAAGACTGATTTGAAGAGATCATACCAGCCGAACGTTGCAGCTTAGCAAATTCTAGCCACACAAGGTTTCCAAGTTCTTTGAACTCAAACATGCCAAAAGCTATTACATGTTATGATCACCAGCCAGGCGTCACTATTTCATAGTGAAGTCGCCCATTCTCCAAGAATTCAATCTCCCTAACCAGTGCTCCATGCGACAGCCTCCCCGATTTTTCCTCGGACTTCAGTTCTTTGCCTGCTCGCACCAAGATACCGCCTTTGTCAGCCCCGCCCACAATTTCCCAAAAGAGCCCTTGCGTCATCGTTGCTGGGTCTGCTGTACGGGCCAATATTGCTGCAGAAATCAACGCGAGTAAAAATAGAATGATGAATTTCTGTCTCTGATTTAATCACATCTGATCCATATTGGTCCCACCTCTTTGGGTTGTCGCGGTTTCACTATCAGTCATCCTGCCTGCCATAATACTTAAACTCCTTGGGGCAGCTCTGTCTTTGCGCGTGCATTTGTGGCAACAATCAAACATCTAAAACATGAGAAAAGAAGAATCCAAGTGGAATGGGAAACGGGAGGTTGTCAATATCAGGAGAATCCGGTCCAGATGTCCAGATCCTCGTTCTGTGTTTGATTCGTAAGGCTCCGAAGATTCAAACATGACAGGGAAAAGTGGGTTGAATCTTGACCCACGTATTCCAAGATCTTGCAATCCACCCAAGCAGTCAGCCACGGGATTTTCACTTTCCACCCGTCATGCAGTTCCCAAAGAGCTTCGAATTCGGATCGATGGATCCTGACGAGGCTTCAACGGAAGGGATCCTCACTGTCCATCTATGCAAAGATTCAGAAATGTTGAAATGTCTCAAAAATGATTTGGGTTTGCTCAGAGAAAGCGTGGGACAAGAATATTTTTTCTCATGACTGGTAGCTCAATCACCTTTGGCCACTAGTCATTGCCGTTGTCAAAACCTCAATGAAAATTTGGTTGGCCAACTGCATGGAAGAAATGGAAGCCAGGATCATCAGCCCTTGAAAATCTCTCGGGTTTTGGCCCAATCTATGATATGTAGGATATGTATGTACCACGTGGTGTTGATCCTAAAACACATTCTGCACCCAGTCGTTGCCCTTGTTGCCCGCCGAACCCTTCCCCGCATTTCTTGCCATTGAAACGATGACATGATCAAAATGGATTGGTTTTCATAGGGATTTCCCATTATGAATGGATTATGGCAATCCCCAATACATTGGGTATAATCCCTTTTTGATCATCAACCAACCATCAAACTCTGCCACTCCCCTCACTTCCCAGACCTCCCGCCTCAACCGCAGTAGATTCTGGGAACGTGGCTAGCTGCCTGGCTAATGGTGAGGACCATGTCTAGGAGTGACCATGTTTCATCTAGGAGTCGAACCAAAAGGAGCGGTCATGGCTTGTAAATCGCTTGTCAATGCCATATAGGTCTGTTTGAAATGGGGTCTACCCCCAAAATTGCCATTTGGATAGGGAAAAGGATGATTTTTTCCATATAAACCATCAAATTTGGGGGTATTCTAATTGTGGACAAACCCATGTAGCTGCGCTGCAGTCCTGTATCATTGGAGGTGCACCTGGTTCCAAATCCACAGGGGCCTAAGAAGGGACTTCCAGGATTTCAACAACCCAAAACCTACGTGAAAATCTGTACCCTGCGCAGTGAATTTTTTTGCAGAGATATCATGCTGATTTTTTGGATTGTAAGAACAACTGATGTAATCAATGCTGACCCACACTTAAGAGTAACCCCCCCACCCGAGCAAGCTGGAATCCAGAACATCAGCAGCCCCTGATATGTTTTGGATGACTCTGCTAAATGGAATCGAGCATGTCCACACCACAAATGTGTCCAAAATGCCAATGTACAATACCCTATCAAAAACGCATGAAAATTTCCAAAACATCAATTCTCACCACAAGGGGCTGATACGGCATTATTCATCATTAGCCTATCCTGGACATATAAATGACAATCCTGCCAGTGAAGGACTTTTTGGACGGTGGGAGAGCACTGCCTTGTCCAGAAAGGTGATGGCCAGCCAATGCCTCCTCGGCGATGCAGGCAGCAAAATCAGCCATTTGGAATCCCCCCGAAGGTGTATAAAAGCAGAATTGATTCGCCCACAAAATGACCATTTTTGGTGAATAGCCATAGCTCCGCAGGTCCACAGTTCCCGAAAGCCTATCAGCTATAACTGTTGTTCCTTTCTTGGAAATTTGGACAAATCCAGGCATCGTAGGTGGCTACTAACCATTTCACAACCCATGTACATGTGTACATGTATACATGTCTACATGTCTACATATATACGTATTTACATATATACATATAAACATATAAACATATATACATATTTACATATATACATATAAACATATAAACATATATACATATTTACATATTTACATATATACATATATACATATATACATATACATATATATATATACATATATACATATATAAACATACATTTACATATATACATATATATATACATATATATATACATATATATATACATATATATATACATATATATACACAATTACATATATACATATATATATATATATATATACATATATATATATATATACATATATATACATATATATACATATATATACACAATTACATATATACATGTATATATATATTTATTTGTTTACATATATATACCTATATACAAATATACATATATATACATATATATACATATATATACATATATATACATATATATATATATACATATATACATATATACATATATACATATATACATATATACATATATACATATACACATATATACATATATACATATATACATATATACATATATACATATATACATATATACATATATACATATGTTTACATGCATACATATTTACATATATTCATATATACAAATAAAAATATATATATATATACATCTACATATATACATTTGCCTATATACATCTATACGTATACATATATTTATTTATTTAATTTTATTTATTTATTTATTTACATATATACATATATACAAATATACATATATATATATACACATATATACAAATATTTATACATTTATGTGTATATATATATATACATATGATATATATATGTATACATATTTACACGCGAAGGCTACGCAGGGCTATGCCGGCCACACTTTTTGCCTACCCGGGCGAGGTGCAGTCAAAAAAAAACGCAGCTCATGGGGGGGTCTAAAATGGTACCTCAAAACCATGCGTTTCAATACTATAGTTTGGTCGTCCTTGACTTAGATGATTTTGGGTATCCCTATTTTAGGAAAACCCCCGTGTTATTATTTTATGGCATACTCATGACCAACATACATACATACATACATACATACAGACATACAGACATACAGACATACAGACATACAGACATACAGACATACAGACATACAGACATACAGACATACAGACATACATACATACGGACATACATACATACATGCATAACATTACATTACACTACATTACATTACATTACACTACATTACATTACAATACATTGCATCACATTACATTACATTACGTTGAATTACATTACATTACATTACATTACATTACATACATACATATATATATGCACATTTGGGTCTGTCAGAAAGCAAAAAGCAGTATACCGGTATACCTTCAAGCGGCCATTTGATGGGAAAAATGATGATAACCCAATGGGAGAAATCAGATAAAACCCGCGTAGTATCGTAATAGAAGATCCTACTGGATTTGTAGATCTTTAGTCACTAAGTAACACTAAGCAACAAGTATTGACTATAGACTACTATTGATCATGTTATTGATGATTGTTGGTTTCCGACGGCTTCTGATAGTGACAAATTTCATGTTGCTGCGCAGCGGTCGACCCATAGTCCTCATGGTCCAATAACGCGTCAGTTTTCGCAGGTGGCATGATTCGCAGGATTTTCAACAGGCTGCAACAAACGGAGGGAAATATGTGTTCTTCTGAACCCGAATCGGTAATTGTGGGATTTGAGCTTTGCGGGGTGTTCTCAATTTCGAACGAAGTCATGTGCAAAAAGAATGGGTCAAAGCGCAGGGATAGGAATTCAGCTAAATGGATCACCGCAAAAAGTCCAGCATGTTCCCCGGTAGCCACAATCCTTTTGCTGGAGGTTAGTTAGTTGTAACGCCCATCCATGATTCCATCCATGACCTTCACAAAAACCCCGCTGTTGGTTCGTCACCTGGATCATTCATGATCACGCCCGGCCCACCCAGTCATCTGACATGATCCATATCCCGAACATTCCAAATGCTCCACATTTGGCAAAGTGTTGGTGTCCCCAACATTCATCTTGTCCCAGGCAATGTTTCTGACTGAACCACGTCTTGGTGAAGAAGCGTAGCGTTGCAAGGCAAGGTGCTTGCGATGTGCCATTCGGAGCTGCGTCGCCTAAAGAGGGGAACCGAAAACAAAGTCACTAAGGATGCACAATATGTATGTTTGTTTGAATGTAAACCGATATATATATATACATATATGTGTGTATGTATTTACATATATATATATATGTGCATATGTACGTATATGTATATATATATATATTATGCATATATATTGAAATATATATATATATTTACAAATAATATGCATACACATATATATATATGTATATATATGTATATATATGTATGTATGTATGAATGTATATTTCATAAATACATATATATATATATGTATGTACATATATGTACATGTACATGTATATGTATACGTATATGTATATGTGTATGTATGTATGTATGTATGTATGTATTTATCTATGTATCTATGTATCTATGTATCTATGTATCTATGTATCTATGTATCTATGTATCTATGTATCTATGTATCTATGTATCTATGTATCTATGTATCTATGTATCTTTGTATCTTTGTATCTTTGTATCTGTGTATCTTTGTATCTTTGTATCTTTGTATCTTTGTATCTTTGTATCTTTGTATCTTTGTATCTTTGTATGTATGTATGTATCTTTGTATGTATCTTTGTATGTATCTTTGTATGTATCTTTGTATGTATCTTTGTATGTATCTTTGTATGTATCTTTGTATGTATCTTTGTATGTATCTTTGTATGTATCTTTGTATGTATGTATGCATCTTTGTATGTATATATCTATATATGTATGCATGTACGTATGCATGTGTATGTGTTATATGTATCTACATACTGTTTGACATTTCTGCAAACTGTTGTGATGGAGGGATGCGACCT